GGGGAAAGGCTGGGTTGTATAAACAAGAATGGTTAGAATATTGTAATCTTCAAATTCACTTTTAAAAACAAGCGTGCCAGAAAAGGTTCTTTAGACTTTGGGGTCATTTTCCCACCGCACATTCAAAAAACAAAAACTGACCAACAGAACTTACTGTTCTAGGTCTAGTTCATTGTTCACCTGCTTGAGACAGCTGGAACCATCATAATAACTGTGAATAACAGTAAACATCTTATGCCAACAAGCTACCTTGTTTCCTAGTTAGCTTAACTGAAATGGAACAATATACTGCGATCCACTCAAAATGTCTACATTTAAACACTTGTGTTATCTCGAACTAACGCATTAGCTTTCTTGCTTACTACTTATCTTGGTTTAACAATAGTTATGCTGACAATTAATATAATGCACTTTGCTGCACTCACAAATGTCTACCTTCACACAGAATCAAGTATCGAATCAAGCAAAGCTTCATTTTTTCCCTGTCAAGAGTGGAAAATATGTGCAAAAAACACTCTGGGGAGACTGCTATAAATGCTAATAGCATTAGCACTGGCTTTTAAGCTAGCTTATTTCACCTATTCACAACGTAATAAATCTACAAATAGCAAGAGACACATAAATACACCATTCTAGTTCACATTTTGGTGAGTCGTGTAATGGTGCTTGGTAACTTATCTTCCCCTGAAAAAGTAACAGATATGCTAAATTGTTGTTAGCTACAGCTGCAAGTGTTTCCAAGTGCAGATGAGAACACCTACAAGTATCAGTAGGTCCTGTTGGTATCTATATTGAGCATAAAACTGGGAGCAATGGGCTCTGGAAAAAGCACAGTTCCAGTTATCTGGTGCCAAAGGTTCCAGTAATTTGTGCAGTGAAAAAACACCCTTGGTTCCCTAAAGCACCTTTCAATGGATGAACCATTCTTTGAAGAACCATTTTTGAGATGTCTAAGATGAGATGTGCAAGTGTGAAGAACACTTTAACTGTTTAAGTAACCTCTACATAATGTAAAGATTCAACATAAACTAAAGGTTTTTCCTAGAACCCTACACACAAGCCAAGAACCATGTAGGAACCTGTTTTATTTTTATTTTTTAAGAGTGTTCCATTAATGCCAGAGTCACCTTTAACTCCTCTTTAACATTCAGTACCAGCTGTCAACTTGCCAACAGATAGTGAGGCTTCAGTATCATTCCTTTCTATGATCCATTTGCGCTGACCACAAATCAATACGCAGTAAGCAAAGTGAAGCGCTCCACTCAGCACAGCATTTACAATCAGACCGACTAAAGAACTCTTTATGATGCCTGGCAGATAAATGACCGTCTCTCCGTTCAAGAGGATTAGCGTGGTTTGTCTAAGCGCAATATTATCTAGGGACTCTGAATGTCCAAGCACAGTGAAACAATACGCAATAGTGACTTTTTCATGAAAGAGAGTATTTACACAAATAAATGCAAGAGGATGAGTCACTTGATATAAATAGTAAGAAAATATCCATTGTGATCCAATTACCTAGAGAGTCCCGCACTGCAATTAGGACAAAAAAAAAGTTGGGAAAGAATGTTGAGGATAGTGCTTTTTTTCCTCCACCACATTCTTCTCACATTATTCAATTTGCTGCATCATCTAGAGGGCCTTTACTTCAACAGATGTGCAACTCTGAGCCAAGCCAAAAAGCTTTTGTTTCTTGAAACGGTGTGCTTCGCTGAGCATCCGCTTTCTCTCTGAACTTTAACATCTCGAATATTTTAACATCTTTCGAAACAAAAGGTGCCTGTAAACGGACGACGGTGAAAATCGAACACTCTGTGTTTATATATATTGCACACAAGCAAACCCGAGTCACAGGTTTTAAATAAGTTTTGAGGGCAAAGTAATCGTTTAGAGGTATTCCGAAAGGCCAGTACCACAGAAAGCTATGGGCAGAGCGACACTCACAGACTACAAATCAAGCAGCAGCTGCAGATAAACAGGATCGCCCAGCTGTTGCCAATACATAACTAATAAAGCAATCTTGTCTGATGAGCGACTGAGCTGTGAGCACCAGAGAAGGTGTGACAAGCAACTTTTTCTGTGAGTGCTTGGAAAACCATCTTTTTTTAACAATGTAACATCATCGGCTATAAAAACATTGGGCAAATTGACCACCTGTTTTGTTTGTCATAGTATAGATTACAGTGAGGCCAGGAATGATGTAATGCTTATATCCACATATCTTATGTCCACAATATTTCCATATGTTCATTAACACCTCAACAACACTGCTCGTCATAATTAATTGCAAATTCAATCATTTGAGTACATTGTTCAGTTCTCCTTAGTAAAACAAAAGCACTTCCGATGACTTTACTCCAATAATACAGCTCACCATACACCACCTGCAGCCTATAGACAGTCTTTGTGGTTCTCTGTAATGTCTTTATGTTCTGGGAGTGCTTACTGAAGTTGTTTTATATCCGGTCATCCTCTATTGCCTGTTTGCTAGAACAAAATTATTCACCAGAATCTGAAAAATTGGAGCACTGATTCTAGTTCAGTTATCAACAACAGCATGGCCTGTAAATCAAAGCTAGATTCAGGATAGAAATGTTGCCTTTAATTGTTCTTTGGAACAAGATGTTAGTACTGATATAATGATTATTCGTTACTGAGAAACAACTAAGCGCTTTTTAATTAAATGCAGCCTGCTGTTGAACTGTTTTGTCATTCTTCCATTTTTCAACTTAATGTCTGCTTGCTGTATCTGTAGCATATGACTGCAAATAATATGAATAATATTCAGCACATTTCCCTGTATTTAGTAAAAGAACAGAAAACCAGTTGCTTCCAAACATGCTTATACTAAGGGCTTTCATAGAACTGTTTTCTGTTGCTATTTCAAGTCTAACTTTGTGATGCTTAGTGAACACTTCAGTGTCACTTCACTGCTATTATTTTCTTGGAATTTGTGTGCACTCGCCAGAATTGTTTCCAGTACAGCACTTTGCTGAAAGATGTAATTCTGAAATGCTGCAGAGATACTGTATTGCAAATACATATGACTAAAACACTAAATACACCTGACTCTACTGGCAGTGAAATGCCATAATTAAAAATAATAATAATTTTTTGTTTCATATCTCGAGGTCTCTGAAATATGAAAAAGCTTAAAGGGTGGTGATGACTCCCAAAACACACCGATATCACAGATCGTTGAGAAATGATCAACAGACTCCAATAAACGTAGGAATGTCTAACTCTGCTCCTGGAAATCTTCCTCCAGAATCCGATCTTAGCTCAACCACACATGCTAATGCTTCAAACAATGCTGCCGTCAACTAACATATCATTTTAATTAGGTCTGTGCTGGTAACAGAATCCTATTATTCAGGTAACCATGTGGAAAAGTGCATTCATTGCTTTACCTTTTATCACCTTTTGTTTTTTTTTTTTTGTTTTTTTATTTATTTCCATAAAGCGTTTAAACATACAGCAATAATGATAACTATAATAGTACGAACCATAACACTTCTTCTTCTCGTAAGTTTGTGACGGTCCCTAACACTGAAGAAGACGCAGGAATAAACAGGAGCTGAAGCTTAATCTTGGTCAAAAAAACCCCAATAATAACATAGTTCCATTCAAGTTGAAGGTGTACATTGTTGTCTTGAAAACCCAGGCTTATTAATTAGTAACTACAGGGATTCTTATTCTTTCTTAGGTTATAGAAGAGTGTAAGAAACGTTTGGGCCCACCAGTGGGCCATTTAAGGGGTTAATTTGGCCAATAGTATTAGTAACATTTTCCAATCTGAACTTTGTTATAGAAGGCTGTTTTGTCTGAGCCTTTGATGTCTGTGGCCACTTAGAGTTTTCTCAAGACTTGAAGTCATTTTTTCTGATATCTAAAAACTGACGCTGTGGTCTTAGGATGTCCTAAAATGTACACCATATAAGCATTTTTTGTAAAGGCATGATATCTGCACAATGCCCCACCCCCATGAGCTCAACTAGAACAATCTTATCTATGTCAGGTACAGTGAAGGTAGTAGTGTTGTAGGATATCACGTCACCCAACAAGTGTAAAGTTCAGTTATGTTTACATATAGGAATACTAGTGGTATGGTTTGCATGAAATAAATCAATAAATGAACAACATGAGTTTTTACCATCACTGGGGGCCTTTAACTGCTTAAACTTTGTTAGCCATCATCAGACATAAGACTAATTTGAGCAGTGCTATGCTAACTGGCGACTATTTGCTTTCATTAATTGCTAGACACATTAACATTATTCACATCACTATTCCTTTAACCCAATACTAATATTCAGGTGCTCTTGAAGAAGGTAAATCCTGCTGGTAGTTCTGTAGTATATCTCCAGAAGCAGGGTTGGTTACCCCAGAGTTATTGTACATATATACTGCAGAGCTCAGGGTTTGCTTAGGTATACATTATAAAGTGCCCTATTGCTTTAAGTGTTTTCTTTTTGTGTTGCAATATTAATTTAATCTTCTTATTTGTCAACAGAGACCCATTTGCTGTGCAAACATGGAGACACTGTGCCCCTGTAACATTCCAAAGAAACAGTGCTTGGCTGACATATCAAACATCTGATGCACGATCAACCATAAACGACACACACTGACCCCACGGACGAGTAACTGATTAAACTCATTTGCAACCAGCAACTATGAACCACGCATGGTAAAAAAAATAATAAATAGAAATCCACATCTCTGAACTCAAAGTTGCAAAATGCTTCTGCAGAATTTGCTAAAGATATGAAGGCAACAATGACTTGCAGCAGTCCCCTATATGTGGTTTGCATCGTGAAAAGGGAAACGCATACTTTCTGGACATCGAGTTGCCACCACAGTTCTCCAACGGTCCCTTTTCCTCCTTTAGGCAACAGTTAATGAGCGTCTGGAAGAACGCCTCCGTTCGGGTACTTCCAGTTAATGCTGACAGATTGGTTACAAAATGACGATAAGTTGTTGGCCTGCGGCGGAGGTGGCAGAGCCGCTCGCCTCTTCTTCACAGAGGAAAGACGAGGAAGCCAGAAAAGGTGGAGTACTGCCACCCACCAACCAGATTTCCCTTCTCCAGTTTCAGGTAAACCTTGTCTTCCTTGTCCAGGTACAGGAGAACCCCATTGGTGGCAGCCTCACGTGTAACATCTTTGTCACCCGCAAAGGCGGAGATGACCGGTCTCCCATTTAGCATCAAGTTCACCTGAAAGACAGTGGAGGGCAAATCCACATAAAGATCACGGTCAAATACGTGTAGCTGGCTTTTATCAAGCACAAGGGACAACTTCATCTATCACATGCTTGTCCTACAAGATGTACCCTTTGTTTTAAAATGACCTGGCACTTAAAAGTAGCAGCACTTGTTCTACTTTTTTATGATGGCCTTTATATTCATGCACAAACATATGCATGCATTTTCAGCTAGTTACAAAAAAATGTAACTGATATTTTTATATATTTCTGCAAAGCATTGTCTGTTTCATTCTCACCTGTATGGTCTGGCTCTGGTATACTTTAATAACATGAAAGTTAAAGCTGTAGATGCCTTTCCGAGGGGACAGAAATACAGATTCCAAAGTGAAATAGTTTCCTATGTTGACAAGAACCTGTGGGGGGAGAAATATTTTAGAAGTATCAAAGCATGAAATTAACTAAGAATTCAGCAAATGCTATTATGAAGAAATATCTTGGCCACAGTGTATTTCTCTTTTGTGCTCTTTCCAGATTCAAACTAAAAACCTTGAAAATATTAGCAAGAGATGGGAATAGACTTGATTTATATATGCACTCATGCATAGCAAAGGATTTCCTTGCTGTCATGCTCCACTGCAGTCAAAGAATAATCAGGATTTCTTACACTCAATCTGACTGAGTCATCCTCAAAGCTATTTTGACGAAGATTACAGCCCTGACCAGTCTTGCAATTCGGGACCAATTATTCCCCACAAAGCAACAGCATGGAGAAAAATCTACTGTTCATGACACAGAAAGTGAATTTGAACTTATCATAGCTCACACGCATAATTATACTGGATGTATCATATGAGATAAGAAAACACTCATGGTCAAAGACCATGCATGTATTCAATTCAAAATGATCTTAACCTTGCAAATAGAGAAATGGGCTCTTGCTCTGACATTCTTGAAGCTGCTGGGTAACATTTAAAAGCACAAAGGTTTGAAGGATGGTCCAGTTTGAACTAATGCTTAACCCTGGATGTGCCATGTTGCCTTCCTCTATGAGCTCCTCCTGGTTAAGGAACATGGATGAATGAGGAGAGAAGATATTTTGATTGTGCAGACTCTATTGTCTCTCGGGCCCTTTGGGATTTTGGCTCACTGTATTTACTGTGCCACTTTTAGACTGCAAAGACCCTTAAAGCAAAAACCTCCCTCTATAAATTGAGAAGTGAAGTTTTAAGGACTTTGCCTTACTATTTTTTTTAGTTCTATATTGTCTATACCAGCATAGTGGTATAAGGCTGTTTTGACATCTAGCTTGTTTTCTAAAGTCCATACCAGAGTTCAGGTTTATTTGTGACATTGTATTCTTTTCATTTGGTTTCAACTGGTTTCACATTTCAACAGTGCAAAGTGCACCAATTTATACACGTAGGTAGGGATGGGCAATATGACAATATTTCATCTTCAGTACACTGTCCAACTGCATGCTCCATTAAAAGGAGAACATAACCATTCTATTTAACTGGATTTAGTGCTGTGCTGTATGGCAAATACTGAAAAAAAATCATGCCCAGAATTTTTAATGGCTGTTTTTAAATGTTGCACTACTAGTGCATCATGTCTGTGTGTCAAATTATTGTGATATGTGTTGTGTATCTTGAAAATGTCTTTAAGTATCAAGATACTATATTTTCACTCACCCCAACACTCAGATGTTTGATGATTGGTCATAAATCTGGCAGGGATACTGGCAAGTGCTCAGCTACCTTCACATTTGCCTCCATTAGCGCAAAAAAGCAAGAGTTTTTAACTTTCACTTGCCATATCTATCTCTCACATATATTCTTGATATAAATGTATTATCCTACCCATGAAAATTGAGATGCTTAAATGTCCACATGCATCATAATCAATGCAATAAAAATAAACCTTATTCTCGCTCCTGATCTCTGCTTCGTTATGTTTGATTGGATTGTCAATGTGAATTTAACCAGGTCTCTAATGCTTGGCCAAAAATGCGTCCCATGTGCCAAAGTCGAATGCATTGCTTCGCTATTAGTTTATTACTCGTCTGCCATTATTAGTAGCAGCTCACCCCACAAGAAAGACATGAGCGTCTGCCGAGAATCAAATGTCAAAACAGGCAGATTATGCAGACAGTGCTAATGTGCTGCTATAAGGAGAGGAACGAATTCCCTGATGTTGAATTCCCTCATTTTGTGCAGACCATCATAAATATGCATTCTCCCTAGGGGTGGGAGATATAGAAAGAACAGTTTATTACAATGCTTAAAGAAATCTTTACTATAGCCGATATATACAATATATACAATATCACAATATTTTGCTAGTAGTGTCACATTTTAAAACTGCTTTTAAAAACTCTTAATACAATGATTATTATCCAGCCTTTCACAACATTTCCACCCTGCACTAAACTCAAATAAACAAGACTAATTATGCTCTCTTTGTAATGTAACATGCAGATGATCAGTGTTCCTTAAGCACTAACAATATCCACGAAAAGCATATTGTGTATCACAATAACAAAAAAGGTCACAAATAGCAATAAAACATCGTCATATTGCCCACGCCTAGTTCCCACCATCAACTGAACAAGGGTTTACTTGGAAGTGGACTCAGGATTTTTGGCAGACCACTGTTGTTTGGTTCACACTTGTCAAAACAAACCAAACTAAAAAAAACTTCTGATTGGTCCACCACAACCAATGTCAGAGTGAAAGCGCCCAGAGTGTTACACTGATCTAGCAGCATTGATAAATTACAAAATCTTATTTGCTGGGATAAAAAACGTATTAAATAGTTTCCATTTCGTAAACCTTAACATTTACAATACTGTGTGAGGTTCCCTAATAAACTTTTAAGAGAAGAAGAAAAGAGAACAAAACAGTCCAATCAAAATTAGCTACGTCAGATTTGTAAGACACAAGTAATCAGAAAGCAATTTAAATATGTGTTACCATGATACCATTATATATGGGAAAAATACAGTGATATGTAATGTTGCCAAAAAAATCAAACATACCCAATTTTCCTCTTACCCCAATCACAGTCGATCAATCTAGACATGTTTGATGCCTGAAGTTTGCTTCTTTAGTTTTGTACTGGAGATACAAGCAGTGGTCAAATAGCCAAAAAAATTCAGGGCTGATGGTGGCTTCAAGCAATAATTGGGGCACAGGCTAAAAGCCTTTTCAGATTTCTTAACTTATAATAAAACTGTCATTTGTTAATTTCTAATTTGTCTATAAGCTCTTTTTTAATTCTACAATTATCAGATGTTGTGATTCAGGTCATAAGAATTCATTTTATTACAACTGTCTTAAATGTATGCATTTGAGGACACATGCATTATATTTTAATGTCAGATTTCAAATTGAACCATTTCATAATGCCATCAGTTATGATCAAGGTTAGTCACACCCACTGAGCCAGTTTGTGGTTTCTGGCTAAATGCACATCTATACCTGTTCCAGCCATTTTCCACTCCTTATATTACATAAATTACTACGCTCTATACTACTCTCACTACTGTACACAACACTACTCACTATATGCAATGCTAAATCATTTATTGGTACCTCTCAAGATTTTCTTCTTTAACCTCTTAAATGACCAGGGCCCACCAGAAGGCCCCTTTGCTTAACTCCATAAGTAATTCTGTCTAACTGCAGACATTTGCTGTGAGTGAGTGTGTGCAGTACTGATTCAACAGTACAACCAAAATAGTTTTAGCTACTAAGTAACCACAAATAGCAAGTAAAATCAGGCAATGGGGCTACTTTAGGCTTGTACTTTAATAGTTGCAAACAGTTGACAAGAAAATACAATTAAACTGTTAATTGCAGTTATTTATATGACAATCGTCAGCTAAAATGTCATGACATGTCGTGACAGCATTAGGCATCAGCCTACAATTCCCACATCAGTGTAGCCTTACAGGTTACCACTGGTTATCATAACAGTTGTTCTTTTTAAAGAAAGACCCACAGATCTTGCTATATATCTAGTGTCCCCTATGGCTATCGTATTACCAATGAAAAGCAAAAGTGTTTGACTCTACACACCCACATCTTCTGTAGGTACACATGCGTACTGCCCTGACCGAAACTTTGTATGAAATGACACAACTCACATATGGACGAAATAAAAATAGTTTTATTTACTTTAATGTTACATTAATCCAAAGAGGATGGAAAGAAGGGATGGTACTTTTACAGGGTGTGTGGTTTTTGTCTTTTTCTTGCCATTCCCCCTCAAGATTGAGCCCTAACAACACAGCTAATATAAATAAGTTTATGTCACCTAAAATGAGTGCCATACATTTCCATTACTTTTTAGCTGCAATAGCTCCTGTATAAACTAAAATGGCAAGCTTTGGGCACCAAACATGTCTCGGATGATCAACTACACTTAGAGTAAGGGAGAAATTGTGTTAATAAGTTAGTTTTTAACCATTTCTTTAAAGATCCCATTCATGTATTTCTTTTCGCAGTAAATACACTGTGGAACCTTAGCTATTATTACTTTGTAATGCATCTGCAACACGTTTTAACACTGAAATATCAAACATATAAGTTCTCCAAACATAAAAGCATTAGAAATTCCTGGAATGATATAAAAGGCAAAGATACACATAATAGCCTAAATTTTTTCAAAAATTCTGTGAAAACGAACAACCCAACAGATTCTCAGTTTTGAACCCAGGCCTGACCCAGAACCCAAAACAGCTCTTTTCTCTCATAATCATCCTGGGACATAGATGAGACACGCTCCCCTGCCATGGGCATATCTAGGAGCTCCAGATACCTCACAAGTGGACACACTATAGTTCTCTCCAAACCTGGCCAGCTCAGTCCAGCAAGTGTGGGAAAAGATTAAGCAGCGTCGGCACCAGAGCTGGTCCCATTGGGAGCTTAGCTGGCATCAACAGAAACCTCTAACAATACGTAGCAGGCCAGCATCGCTTGCTTTGCCGCCAGAGAGTTACATAAAGGCCTCGAGAGGCCTCGATCCACAAGATGGACAGAGGGTGAGAGCAACCCAGCCGGCTGCATGGCCGGTTCATTGGCCGATGGTCTGTGCGTTGAGGTTTGCAGAAACTAGGAGCTGAAAGCAGCTGGTCAAGCTATCTTCTTTTATAGCTTTCTTTTCTCCCCTGCCCCTACAGCCGAAGTAATGAGTAGGGAATAATAGGTCCTCAAGGGCAGCCTATACAGAGCGCATCTCAGCAGAAAAGAAGCAGAGTTTTAGCTTGTGTCATGCATCAAAATGTACAGCTATTAGTACTGTCTTTGCAGAGGGAGAGATAAGAGAGAGTATGAGAGGGACATAACGGGAAAAGGTATATCGGGGTGTGGTATAATGTACTGCATCGTTAACAGTTAATATATGCCACAGTCCGTCTGTTAAGCTGTACGAATAATCTTCGGGGCCCACACCAAACGTTCAAATTCAGGACCTTGAGTGAACAGGTCAGAGTAATTCACTCTGGGTGTCCTCATTTAGGAATTAATTCAACCAAGGGATACATATCTAAAATTAGTTCAATAAAACATAACCTGACATAGCTACTGGTCCTACTGATACTCCAAACCAACTCAACATTGTCCTTAAGTCACTCCAACTGTACTTACTGAGCCTGCTTGGATTATATGCTTCACAGTTTCTGGAATAATTGGGCCTTGTGTTCGATTAAGTAAGCTAATAATGACAGGTGTACCTCTTGCGGCGGAGTTCTTGCTATACAAGCAGATACTAGACAGACAGAAACTTTATTAATCCCGAAGGAAACTGCAGCGATATAGCCGCGACAAAGAAGACCACGCAGGATGAATATATATCAGGGGAAAAAAGCAAAATACACATTATTTTTAAGACTTAGAAGTGTACAAGAGTATGACTGAATATCTTCTACATGTTTCAATCAGTTCAGGCCAAGTGTGAACTCAGACATGCAGTCAGAATGTGCCCCCAGCTACTGGTGTGATGGATCTGAGTGACTAGTGAATGGGAGAAGCATCAGAGAAGCCAAAGCAACATATACGGTTCAGGTAAACAGAAACGACAGAATGACTTAAGCAAAAAGGCTACAGCACATACAACTAGATCAAATTTCAGTGTGATGTAAGGTTAGGGTTCATCAGCAGTACACAGAAAGGATAAGTCAGGCATTAGAACGCAATGCTGAATACAGTGTCTGCAGCAGTTTCTGTAATACTCAGGATGAGCTTTCCAAGTTCATAGGGTCTACACTGCGAAATTCCCAGTGTGGAATTAACACCGGAAATGTTTTATTAGTACACACAAGTTCATCTACACATAAACGAACGCTGTAAGAGTTAATTCAACACTGCAGAATGGACGTAGTAGTCTGTTTAAAGCAGTGCTCTTTACAGTTTTAAAATTCTGAAATGAACTTTTATGCTTTTGCAGTGCACATTTTTGAAAACTATAACAATGATTAATTTGTGACCAATACAATAGCTAACACACAGTTGTAATGGGATGCTTCCAGTGGTCATTTCAAACTGCATTCACCAGAGAAAAGGACACTCCTATAATGAAACGGCACCAATCGCGGTTCATAATGGCCTGAACCTGAAACAGACTTGATTAACCGCTCACACTAATAAAGAGTGACTGCTGGTTGTCACAGTTTATAAGCTGAGACTTGAACTCAGGGCTCTGTAGAAATGTTACACCGATAAAAAAAAATTCACACTAAAACTGACATATTCTGCAGATCTAAATCTGGTTGTTATTTAACGGATAAATAGTTATTAGAAAGCAGTGGTCCCGTAGCATGTGCCGTGAATCTGTGTTTGTCATGTATATGAGGTTTACTGGACGGGCTCCTCTGGTAGTTTGTCCGTTAACCGCCAGACATTCCGAAGCACGACGTCTGGATGTTCACGGATATCTCGACCAAAGAACGGGATTTATTTACAAGCGCAAATTTGACACGAGTTATATCCAGCGCCAACATGAGGTTCACCGCAATTTAACCAAGGTTTTTATGTTACTTCTACGTGCGAGCGTTATTTTTCCTGACAGGAAAAAATCTTCCGTTTTCGTCCTGTCAGGAAAAAAGGTCTTCCGAACTTGTAGCTCGCGCGCGTTAACCTGCATTACTGTAGACTTTTCACTTAAAGGGGAGCTCCACCCATTTTTAAACATTTCTGCAAATCAAATGCATGTAAAGTCATTCAGAGTGGTTTGGTGTGAAATGCTCTGTTCTAGAGAAACGCACAGAGTCAGAATTGTTCACAGTGGTAGTGATAGGAACCAGACGTCCGCCTCTAAAAGCTCCCTTACATAAAGTTATTACAAAAAAATGGTTCATGTTTTATGTCTGAGAGTGATAAAGTTTTTGGTCTAAAACGTATTTTAATCGATTCACAGTGGATGGGATACATATGTATGAGTGTCTAGAGGTAAAACAGTCCCCAAGGAATAATATTTTTTAGATTAACCACTATTTTGCCATCATCAACATCCGGCTCGTGTAGGTTCATTGGTGGTTTTGGATAGTAAATAAAATGGCCATATTAGCACTGTAGTCATCGTGACTCCTGGTTCCCATCAGCATCACTGTAAAGAAACCAGTCAGTCAGTTTCTCTATAAATGAACCATTTCACACTAAACCGCTCTGAACGACTTCGTCTCAACAACTGAATTGTGTAGAAATTTTGAAAAATGGGTGGAATTTCCCTTTAACTGCCGCAACTTCTTACTAACAGATTTAAAAGAAAGAAAAGGGGGAAAGCTTCAGTAGTCTTACTTGGTCGAAGTAAATGATTCTGGTTTTGTTGCTCATCTCCGACGGCTCATGGTTGTTGCTCCTCACGGCCGAGAAGGCGACCTTGGAGTTGGCGGCGCGCACGGAGATGCCGAGGGGGGAAGAGGAGCCTCTCCGCTCCGTGGCCGGGTTGGAGTCGCAGACCACCAGGCACTTTCCCTCCAGCACGATGGGCTCCGTGTCATTCTGAGCCGCCACGAGCACCACGGCACCTATCAGCAAAGCCACGCAGTCGTGGGTGACCCTGTTCCCCGGCATTATTCAAAGGTCTGCCCCCTCCTCCAGCTTGTAGCGACAACTTCCACAGTCTCGGCGCTCGGTTCCCCTCAGGTAGGGCTGCTCCCCCTCCTTCCTTCCTTCTTTCCTTCCTCCCTCTTTCCTTCCTCCTCGTGCTGCTTCTCGGTGTGTTTCAGCGAAACATCCGCGCGGACATCCTCTCAGGGTTACAGACTATGGCGGTGTGTCGCCGAAAGCACCGAGGTTACAGTTTTAGTCATGTTCCTCTGCTGCGCTAACGAGTTGAGCCTCTCCAACTCCAGCAGGCGTGTGAAGTGTCTGTGCGGTTAGCTGGCGAAGCCGTGAGTCCACTCACTCCCCTCACTGAGAGACTCCACAGCAGCTCCAGTTCACTTCTCCTCAAGTGAGCTGCACTTAACGAACAATTCACCACCTCCTAATCGAATTCATTTACACCAGACACCTGAAAAAATGAAAACAAAAGAAAGAGTGGAGTATTAGTCTCTTCAGCGCGGCTCTACTTTTCCTTCTTGCTTACACGGTCTAACACGGGCGAAGTTGAAAGAGGAAAAAAGAACCGAAGAAAACGCAGAATAGGTGAGATTCTTCCTACCGCGGCCATGATATTTTACCACCTGAATTATGAGGACAGACTGGGGCTGTGGAGGAGAGCATCTGACGAAGTAGCCTAAAAACGATTAAAGAAATAAATAAATGTGCACACGACCAAGTCGAGGATCGTAAACGTGAAACGTTTTAGGGTCCTTCAGTTTGTCCCTGAAGCCCTCGTGTTGGCAGGTGAAACTAGTTATTTTACATCACTCAGAGCTGGTAGGTAAACATGGCTTTTCTCCACAACAGGCCAAAAGTATTCAGACAGCCCTTCTAATGAGTCAATTTGGCTATTGTAAGGGCACCTCATTGCTGACATAGGCATTCACTTGCACTCGTACAGTTTGTATGATTTATATAGAAACTAATTTCTAATAGGCTGGCATGCTCTGAAGGAGCAGCACAGCTAGAGGGGTTAAAAGTCCATCAGCATTGTGGCTGTGGAGCAGTGGAACTGGGTTCTCTGGAGTGATGGAGCTCCATCGAATACAGTACGAGTTGGAGTGGCGTTTGTGATCCAGAACTAACTAAAATCAGTACCTGACCTCAATGCTCAGTCAAATCCTCACAGCAAAGTTTCAGCATCTAGAAGCCTTCTCAGAGGAATCAAGGCAAAGAACTGAAGCAAAAGGAGGACAAACAAGCCTTGATTTCAGGAACGTTGGATGAGCGAACATATGGGCCTGTAGTGTATTAGTGCCTTATGTACACTGGTGAACAGAGACACCCTGGTGTGAAAAAAAACAGTGATTAATCTGGTACTGATTTAGCTGGTCACTGAGCATGGTCATGGTGGTTGACCAGCATGCCAGCATTCAAAACACAGCATATCGCTGCTGTCGGAACAAGACTTCATATCTCCAAAATGGTAACTTTACAGGAGAAGGAAAAAACATACCTTACTTTCAATGTAAGTCAGTGGGACCAGACTTTTTTCCCAAGTCATTTCGGGTTATTACTTTTGATCCATTCATCATGAAATCTACACACAATGTAAAGGGCAACAGGCATTTTCATATTATGGCAAAAACTGAAAAACAACTGGAAAAAAAAATGGAGATACAAAGTTTTGTTCCGACAGCAGCTTTGCTGGTGACTTTGCTGGTGACCAGACATGGTGGTGTGTGCTGTTTTTTCTAACCGGGCAGTAAAAGAATTGAATCTAGTCCACCATACAAGGGTTTTAAGCTGTGGTTGTGAAGGTGAGATATCACCTCTGCTAGCGTACATCAGAAGAGCCACTGCAGCGAAAAGAGGTTAAAGAAGCCATGGTCCTGCCGGCAGGCCCAATGTTTTATTACACACTTCTATAACTTAAGAAAAGCTCAATTAATTTGCATTGAAGTCCCTGTAGTTACTGAATAATTAGCCTTTGTGTCTTATAAGCCTGGAATGTTAAGGGGTTAAATCTTAAAGGAAAAGGCTGTTTAATAAAGGAGTCAAAAAGATTTTTCATGTTGACGGCACCTAGAAACCTCTTAACCCTGTTCTGCAACCATACACTTTTTTGTGTGGAGAAATTAGGTTATTCTTTCCTGGTAAAAGATCCTCTTATAAGGTAGAATAGCAAATAGAGTCCTTCCACAGTTTGTGTTTCAAATGTAATTGGTAGTTGGAATGGAAAATGATGTCACATGACTATTATACAGTTTTGTATGCTAATGTGCTTAAATTGCATTCAGTAAACACAGAAAAATCATTATTTTAGTCTCCTCTTGTAGCTTAGTAGACCATGACAAGAACAGACTACAAATAAACATGAGATTATGGCACAGATATTCCACTTAGAGTGTAACAGAGTTGTTTATAAGTTGTAGCGGCATTTTGAGGAAAGGGATGCAGCAGTATCTAATGTCTCTGTATTCACCCTGACCACTACTGTCGTGCCCTTGAGCAAAATAACTCCAACCCCAAATGGCACTACCCTCAAATAACTCCTGATCATGTCACAAAGAATGCAGCGAACACAGCACGATGTATACTGGAGTAAACTCAGCTAATTAGACTCTCCTTCTCATTAGCACAAATAAACAGTGAAGCCACCTGAGGCATACACATTACGAATGTAGGAACACCTATGTAATATTATCTTACCCAGTGCTTCCACTCTCTTCTCCCCCCTTTTTTCTCTTTTAAGCAGTCTGCCTTTGAAGGGAAATAACATGCAGTGCAAATGCAGTGCTAATTCTTGTGTTATGTGTGAATGTCACCATGCTATTAAAATGTAACACAGAAGAGGTAAAGGCTGCACGAGTTGAGTGTGGGTGGAAGTTCTGCCTGTATGCCTTGTCAAACGTTTGAATGTGAAGTGTCTATTCACGTCGGAAATTTCATTAATTAGACTGTGCACACAGTGACAACAGGCCGTTCATGGCCTAATTGCTTGTAGCAAAAGAGTAACGATGTACCCTGCATCTCTCTGACTGCTATCTAAATCCATGGCAAAATAGAAGAAGCATTTTGATATGTAACGACTAGTTATTATTTATTCCAATAGTAAATTGTGAGTTGTTCTCTTTTATTGGACATCCTGTAACGAGCAATGTCCAGACCGACACCCAGCATGAGCCGCGAAATGAAGAATTAAGATTTGATTGAGAGAGCAGTATCGAGTTTTCACCAGGGCTGGCTTCAGGACAAAGCCCACAGGAGAATCTGGGCCAAAAGTCTATTCCTGGTTGACTACGGGATAGATGAGCTGGACTTTGAGTGCTGCAAATGAATCAACCTCCAGTGACCTGCATGTTTTCGGTTCGGCTTGGTAAGCATGGCCAGGAGCGTGGGGAGAGGGGCCTATTCATATGACCCTATTGACACTGTTTGTGGTGGGAAAGCCTCTTGGGTCCAATTGTGAGCGTGTTTATAATTCAGTGAGGTATGGAGAGCTCGACACGACTGCAGGCCATGAAGAACACGAAGCCACTTCAGCAGCTGTGTGGTGTAATGAGTCAATGGATTGTCGATTTAATGCAGAGACATTACGCGTCTACTGATGTCTACGCTTGTGTGTGTGCGTATGCCTGCCTTTGTGCGGAACACGCCGCTGTGTAAAGCGGGTGAAGAGGCCTCTCCGTGGGCTCGACTCTTAAGCTGCCTTTGAGTTTGAGAGCCAATGACATTAAAATTCATCCAACAGCCTTCAGCGCCTAATTCATTTCAAACAACCACCCGCTTTTGAGGGAATGTAACCATTCTGTCATTTAGGAGACGAGGCGGGAAAAAAAGTAGATTTCTTTACTCTTTGCTCAAAATGACTCAGGGTAAACAGGGAAAAAGTCTGGAGTGAAGTGGTCAGGCAGAGCAAATCCATTCAATGGAACATCTCTATTACTATCCAGAGTTAAAGGCTGAAATATTAAAACGCCACCACAGATTACAAAATCAGCCAAGCCCACACAATAAACCTTGCCAGCAGCTCCAATTCAATAGCACTAAACATTCAGTGCCTTTCAAAAGCCAAACTCAGAGCCTTGATGAATAGCACAATGCATTTTATGTACCGACACCTCCCCTGACAGCGGTGGCAGTCGCTAATAATCGTTGTGGTCACATTATTAGTGACTTCAGTGTCAAACTATGTGAGGTGGAGCTGGTGGTTAACCCACAGCTGATGGGGTGACTGAAATAGAGCTGCAGCTTTGGAGGCCCAATGTTGCCCGGCAGGCCGAGCTGACAGGAGATTGGCAGCCTGCTGTCGTCACCCCAGGCAGCCCCTCACTCCGACAGGGAGACCCAGAGAAATTGTTTAATCTGGGGGGCATACAACAGGGTCACGGCACAGCACTTTCCACCAGGGCTTCTTTTCTTTTTCTTAACAGCCTAAATACTTCAATGCCAGGTTGGTAAAGAGCATTGCTCACCAAAGCATATGTCTAGACTGGTTTCAGTTTTCATATTTTTGACTCAGAGGCGAATAGCGATCAAGAAAAATTCCAAGACTGGTAGCGTGTCTAGGTTTGTCAATTGATTTCAGAACTCTGTGAAAAAGAGTGCATAGTTTCTCTTACTGAACACTAATCTTGTAATCATTGCTTAGCTTTCAAGGCCAAGAAACCATATGCTTTCCACTGCAAGTGTTATATTTCCAATTAAAGAATGGAGCAAAATTGAAGTACTTAAAATGTATCAACTCCTTAGACCAACTAACTGAATGCTTTACCAAAATGAATCACATGAAACATGGGTCCCTTCCAGTGACCGAGAGCTCCTTTTAAGGAAGATAGGGTTTCGGACTGACAGGAGTTTATCAGCTCTATATCCCATGTGCCGTGAGTTTGTATCGAATGTCCAATGAAGAGCCTCCAAACACTACTTGTGAAGATTTCTGCAGCACTGTATTGGAGCCTGTATTGCATGATGAGCAATTTTAAACAGCCTTACCCTGTATTTAAGGGAACACGCCAACATTCTTTGACAAAATCTCTATCTGACACATGTACAGTATGATCAGCGATCATGGAGAATCATAATTGCTGTCCCTTTGTAAAGGTAACAGCTATAAGTCTTCTCCTATAAGGCTTAATAAAGAACACAAGGCAAGGGATCTGAGACCTCATTCCTCCATACAGAATCTCCAGATCTTTCAGATTCCAAGGTCCAAGCATGTGGATTCTCATCTTTAGCTCATCCCACAGGTTTTCTATCTTAATTCTGTGGTCAGTGAACCAATTTTCTGTTGACTTTGAGGTGTGCGTTGGATCACTGTCCTGCTGGAAGATGTTTACCAGGAGTGCCAGTATTTGTGGAGGGCACTGTATTCTAATCTAAGTTCTGCACTCTCCAAGTTTGAAATAAGATGCAAGCTCATAATAGACACAGCATGCTTCTACATTAACATTTAAAGCTTTCCTTTCCCACACTAGCAGAGACCATGCCATGTTTGTGCTATTTCCCCTATTGACATGTGCAGAATTAATTACATGAGGAGAACACCACAGGACCAAGATTACCGCACACACTACAGATGTCACTCTTTATAAAAGCCGCCTATATAGGTTAAACCCTCAGGTTTTTCCCCCTTGAAGTACACAGCCATAAATAATAATAACAAACAACAAAACAAGCACTGACTTCTCGCTCTTGACACGCCAGAGGAGAAGTCAGTCATGAGCCCGTTATATAAAATAAAAGGCACTGTAACAAGGCAATGCCTGAGCACTCTAGAGGATAACAAGCAGATATCAGGAGCAGGTGATTGAAACCGGGCATCACTGGAAAGGCTCAAAAGCTCCCATGTGCGGCAGGTGGGACGATTCAAGCAGGAGAAAATAACATCTCTCTTCCTGTAATCCTCTCAGACTAATAGTGTGGTGCTCTTGATGGGAAGCTGGCCATGTGTGATGGCTCTGAACCCTGACTGGGACAGTGGAGAAAGTTAAGGACAGGGAGAAGTGTTTAACACTGATATTCTGGACACAGCTTGGCTTACACTGTGCCAGAACAAACCATATCTGGCACCTCCCAGACCACATGAGCATTCACATAAACTAAATGTATATGATGATCTGCAAATATCAATTTCATGAAAAATCATGTAAATCATAATCATAGTTGTGGTTTCCCCTGTCAAAGTTAGCTTGAGGTTCCAGGAAAAAACACTAAATTGGGCAGGCTTACTCTAACTGTCAAGGGTCAGCTGATAGAAACCCATTAGAAGTAGATTAGACCACTGAAATATGGCTCAGTGGGCTAAACGCATTCCATGTTTATGATACATACAAATGGTGAACTGGGGTGACTGGCCTAGCACTGTTGCTGGAAGAAAACCTTGTATCTCCAAGATGGTAAAACATACTTTACTTTTAATGTAAGTCAATGGAACCAGACCTTTTTACAAGTCATTTTGGGCTGTTTCTTTTTGTCCATTCTTCAAGAAATTTACACACAATACAAAGGGCAACAGGCATTTTCAAATTATGTCAAAAACTAAAAAACAATAAAAATGGAGATACAAGGTTTTCTTCCAACAGCAGCGATAGTTAACATTAACTGTTGTTACACAGAACTTGATTTTGTTGCCCCAAATGATAAGCTAGCTCCTATAGCTATCTAGCATCTATGGTAAAAAATTATTACTGTACTATATGCATGAAATTGTGTCAAGAAAAAACATCCTGGAATGTGAAAATCTAATTTTAGTTTGCTAGCTAATAAAGTTAACAAGAATCAGAAAACATTTTCCTTCTGTACCATGATATATTTCCAAATCAAATACAGTATCAGCAAGGTCTCTGACCTAGCAGAGTGTATTATCTTGGTTGTTGGTCCTTAATATTGGATTTCCCACTCTCGGTGAATGTTGATGTACCCAAAATATTGTTTTAGAGGTGGGCAAAAGTCATTAATTTTAATTTTCAGGGGCAGGTGGGGTATGGGGGGGTACTCAGGCCTACAATAACACAATTTTAGAATTCTTTTGCTATAATACTACATCAATGATATTTCATTGTCATTATAAACTAAAACTGCAAACTGGCACGAACTAAAAAGCTGTAAGTGGTGTGAGTGGCTGCAGTAGCTGTGCTGAGAAAAGCAACAAAACTGGCAGTTTACTTCACAATTATTATTTTCTGATTGTCACCTTACTACACTACAACGCTTTCACCCTTGGTGCACTGGCTTGTCAGAAAAAGTCTGCCACCTGAAGTAGACCTCCCATTCAGCCTGAAGAGTGGACATCATTTCATTCACACATATTATGTGATCATTACTTTACTACATTACACTGAAAAAAATAGTTCTTTGAATTGATATGATTAAAATATAAAAAAGTGGTTGCACATGAATAAAATGAGTTACATAAACACAATAATTCCCAAAAGAAATAAAAGAAAGTGACTGCGTTGATGTAACATTTTCTTTGTGTGCAACCACTTAACACAAAATCACAAATCACAATTTGTACAAAGCTTGCATTTTTGGATAGTTGGCCATTCAGAAAAAGTTTGCTTTCTGAAGTAGACCTCATGTTCAGCATAGAAAGCAGACATTTCACTGAATGCAGGATGACTAAATGCCCCCATACATTTTAAAACTCTAATTAAAGTCAAAATAGACTGTGATTTTTTTTTTTATTTATGGTCAGCAGTGGTATGTTCTATCGAGTATGATGACGTGATAAAACTCCAAGCCAGAGCTTTTAACATTCAAATGGACATTTTCTCCACTCAAACATGCATTATTTCATCGAATTCTGCAAATATTTGAATGTCAACCTTTATGTTGACAGCCCAAGTCATCTTTCTTCAACGCCTTCCCCCCATATTAATTTGCTGGCTCCGTCACTATTTAGTGTTCCAGAATCTTAGCATTTACAAATGAACCACTGGGCATAAATTTAGCTGTTCCATTTTCCCCGTGGACCCCATCAAACGGAGTTCTAACAATACAATCGAGCACTTATTTGATCAAAGGGACATTTATTAATACAAAAGAGTTATCAGTTTCACAGACACGATAAACAAATCATGGTGTAAATGACATTCTGTCCTCAGTGGGAAATATGATAGGCTTTCGCAGAGTATCTCAAAATACCACGGCATATTGCCATATCAAGTTTTATTTCATCTTGTTTTTGCACATTGTTGTGACATTCTCCGGAATCACAGATTGTGAATCTTCTCTGTGGAAAAGGGGGATTTTGTCTGCCAGACTGAGATGAAGATTTGAGCATTATAAAACTCCTGCTGGGCCTGAGGAGATGCCACAAACATATGAAATAAAAACATGGTAATTTAATCATTTCAGTTTTATTTATTTTATTTCTATTTTTTATTTCACTACAGGGTAAACCACCAAATGTGAACCATACTGTGTGCTATATCTAAATGTTCATGTTAATAGCTGCTGCAAATAATTACATTTACATTTTTCTCTAACAATTTGTGAAATGGTTAATCATTTCTTGAAATAGCCCTTTGTGTACTACACCTGAGAGTTTAACTAGACTTCATTATTCCAAATATTCAGTCTTTGAAAGGATCACTACAGCAGTTTTCAAGGTAATCTCTATCTGTCGCATCTGTAGCACAATATTATAGACAACAGCTCTGAGACATTCCCATGTAAATTCAGTGCTTTTTAATACCTTTTTAAGACCTCAGCATGATAAAAATAATACCACTTTAACCATATAACAAGGCACACCCTCAAATATGGCATGTTTTATGTATCTACTTTATGTAAACTGTTTTGAGGAAAAAATATCTATATAGACTTTGAGGTTGCACTGTCCTAACACAATCTTTTCACTGAGTTCTCCTCTAGTCCTTCATCAGCAGTTACTTTTGACCCCACATCCACGGTCAGCAAGATATTTTTGGTTGTTGGACTATTCTGGATTAGTTTAATATGAACAATGGCATCATTTTACAATTTTATCAGGGATGTCCCGATTAGTTTTAGTCTCTCGGTCTGATTCTTCTGAGTCATTCAGTATTGAGTAACAGCTAATATTGAATTTAGGTAATTATGTTACTCTGCCATTTAGTATTACAGTATGTGCATAATGTGACACTCTGGACTGATTTTAGCCTACTTTTTCAGATTGACCATATATAGTGTGTTTAATATTGGCTTATGATCAAATCTGATAGACTGATCTGATGATTTGGCTACAAGATACTTTAATATCCTGCAGTGAAATCCCTTCAGTTTTGATGTGTATATTATTATACACCCTGAATTGATAGCTTTAGTTTTATTGGCCTATTTATGGGAATAACCATCTTATAGGTTCATGAATAGCTTTTATTTCATATTGCTTTAACATGCCACAGCAGCCTGCTCTTTTCTCTCATCTTCGAAGGCCCTAATGTTTCTGCTAACGTCAGTCTTACCCCAGAAATGCAGCACACGGCGAGTAAAGAGCAATGTTTCCAGAGTAGTTTTCAACCAGTTATGACTTGAGGTTGAAAAACATTGCGTTTATGTGCATTGCGTATATGGTTTTGGAGGCATATTGCTGTAGCAGCAGAAAACAGACTCTGTCCATGTGCTCACATTTTACATGCCAGTGTTCAAATGAAAGGTGGCTAGTTTAAACACAGCAGAAACATAGGCATTGCAGATATTGGATGTTTTATAATTAACGTGTGGCCTCTACGACAGCGAAGTAAACAGAGCTAAAGATTTTCTAAGAATCCATGGGAACCCTGATGCAAACTAGAAACATGCTTTTAATGGAAGTCAAGGTTTTTGCTTTAGCCAAGCTATGTACATGTACAACACTGAACCTATTGTCTACAGTAATTCACTGTATGATATACAGATGTAGCTGATAGACACTAGATTGAAAAATACCAGTGTTCCTTTAAAACAAGTGCTTGTGTGTCCTCTCCCTGCTCTTTATTTCTGTTTAAAATGTAAGATGCATGGACCCCTGCGCTCCCTCAAGTCGCAGACAAAATCAATCTGAGATGTTCTAAAGTGCAGCTTAGCGCCGCGATCCAGCAAAGTGGCCAATGTGAAAGAAGAGGAACAAAAAGAAGCAGTCTTTAAACTAGCAGCTGCCACAGATGTCACCCTGCTCCATGGCTGTCAATTGGAGCCGTTCCCGAATGGGCCAGAAAAGCCCTCACGTCCGTCCATCGGGCCAAGGCGGGAGGGGGACAGAGTGTCTGGAGAAATGTGTGTGGACGGGGTTCAGCTGGCTCTGGCCGCTGGAGCGCTCCCTCCATGCCGGCCAGCTGTGGAGCCGCTGGCAGCTTGGCAGCCCCCGTTTGTCTTATCCAGCCCAGTAACTTCCATTGAAAGAGCTCTCCGAAAAGTAACAACCGATCTATACGAGCCTCTAACCGAGCATTTTCTCCTGAGCTAGCAGTGCATCCAGCAGCGCCCCTTTGTTATGGACTGGAGTCTGAGAGCCGCCTTTCAGTAAATCTGCCCGAGACTTTTAATCAAAGTAAACACCATTGCAGCAATAGATCTAGCAAATCCTTCCCTAAAACCCTTTGGATTAGGCTGCTCACAAAACACCTTGCTATTCAGTTTAGACTGACATTCAAATGGCCTTTGGACCCGACACGCCTTCTATGATATGCTTGAGAGGGCAGGTCTTGCTTCGGGACCATACTTCATACATAACAGCCAGCTGAGAATCACACAAATACACACACAAACACACACACACAGACACAAGCACACGCACACAGGTGGTGAAATATCTCAACATGTCAGCTCTGAATGTATCCTTTTGAATTCGTTGACAAATTGGCAAACACAGCCGAAGAGTTCTTTAGAATCTTGATCCAAAGGCTCACCAAATTTCACCTGGAGAGAAAAGAAAACAGACAGGAAATTCTGAGAAATTATGTGGACCTTGTGGATGTCACTGTTTACAGCATATCACGGACAGACTATGCTGGTGTGCTTAGAGCATACCACTTTTTCTTTTCCAATAACAATAACTTATTGAGGATGGGCTAATACTGATGTTGAGTCTATATATAAAGTTACATAAAACACCTCCCATTTTTCCATGCAGTTCAAAGTCTCAGAAAAAAAATTGTGGAATTGTTTTAACAAATTCTCAATGTTTGACTCATCAAAGTAGCCACAATTTTGTACTGAATTGATGCAAATTCATGTGGTAGCCGTTTTGGGTCACGGTACCGGTCACTCTGTTCAAGTTGCCGACTCTGGATCGGACTGAAGAGCCCCAGACATCACACTTCCTCCTTCAGTTGGTGAGGAATCATCATTTTGCCTACTCATCAATGAACACAAACCTTGTGTGATGAACTGAAGATTTCAAATGTTGCTTCATTGATCCATAAGACCTTCCTTCAGTCTTCAGTAGTCCAGTGGTGCATGGCCCAGAAAAGCCTCTTTTCCTTATTTTGCCATCTTAGTAATGGGTTTCTTCCTGCCACTTAACTGTCAAACTTGTAGCTAAAAGGCTTCTCTTCACAGTTGAAACTGAGACTTGCTTACTTCGATCACTGTTAAGATGTTGTCTTGTTAGCCAAGCTGTTGACTCTCAAAAAGTTGTCTTTTGATTCTGTTGGGGTTTTGGGTCTGCCAGACCTCTCCCTGTCAGTTTCCTCCAGTTTCCAACCAACTTGTTCCCTGAAAAAGGCCTATTTAAAAACTCAATTTAATTTTTCAGTTTATTGTTACTTTTTTTAACATCAAGCAGTTTACCACTTACCTTTGCACTATTCACAAAACCTTAACTGCTTACATCTCAGTAAAAACTGGGAAAAAGGGGGTGTTCTAAAACTTTTGGCCAGTACTATACACATATTATTTTAAAGTTGTAAAATTAAATATTTTTGGCATAAGCATTTTACTTAAGATGACCATCTAAAAGTACCATACTCACACCGCTAAACTGCCTTACAGAGTAGCCAACAACATGTATTACACTATTTAAAGCTACACTATATGCATTTTGGGGATTTAGAGACCTTTCTGGTAGAAATGTGTAATTGCACACAATGTGTGGAGGAACAACTTGCAACAAGTTGTACTTTGGACCCCTTCCTTGAGTGGATAAATCTGATGATTGAGAGGATGTTGAAAGAGTATTCAAAAAGAACTCAGTCAAAGCTTGACGAAGGACGTGTCTTCCACGGATGTAAGTGATGTGCTGTTGTCATCATGTCTTCTTAGTATAATATTGCTTTTACATTTGAGAAAAACATCAAACCAAACCTTCTTTTTGAGTCGGTGCATGTGACGTTAACATGTAAAGATGCAAGACGTGGTCTCACGAAATCAGACTCGAAGCCTCTCACTTTAAAATTATTTCAGGCTTTATAAGGTGACTTGCAGCGGCACACAGACACCATATTTAAGTGTGTGTTTTTTCTTCTGATTCAGCAATGCTACAAAAAATCTTACATAGTGCAGATTTAAAGAAAAGGAGTTGCAATTCTTGTGTAAGACTAGATGGTTATTCACTGTTATTATATTAGCATTAGGCTTTATGTAGCTAATGTTGCTATTATGCAACTCTCTTCGTTCTCTCTTTATCTCATGTTGTGCTATAAACAATTCTGATAAACTTCAAGTTACATATGTCAAATGACCAGGTTGCAATTGTTCTTTTTTCCGCTCATATCCAATCCTGTGTTTGCTACTGGTACTGACAAAACACCAGTTCTATGTACTGGACTGGGGCAGTCTACTAACTGCAAGTTTCTTTCTAATGATTTTAATTCCTTTCTTGCACTGCAAATTGGACCATTTTTATCTTACAGCAAGGCAAAACACATTTCTGTAACTTTATTACTGTCATTCTGTATGTTCACCAAATGTTGGTACCAGTTTCTATTCTATAACAGTAGTAGTAACATTTGCAGGTGATCACTATAGCAACCCTTTTCACTGATCTTTGTTCTAGCAATCCAGACAATATTTTCTGTAATCCAGACCTATTTTCTGGCCACAGACTAAGTCCTGTACAATCACAACATGGTGTAACATTCAAAGCCCCCGAGGAACATGGAAAAGGCCAGTCTGCCCCTGATAATGCAGGAGTCATAAGCAGTGTAATGTCCACACTCCTCTCATCTCTCTCTCTCTCTCTTTCTCCCTCCCAACTCCCTAACCTTGCTACTCCTGCTGCTTAATTCTCTGCCTGTCTCTCTTTCTCTTGCTCTGTTTCTTTCGCTCTGGCTGACCTGAGTAGCTTCCCTTTATTGGTGCTGTGGGCCCAAAGTTTGGGCTGTAATTGTAGAACTAAAGCAATTCCCTTTCCCTGGCTACTGGCTTACCTCTCACCACTGTCACACTCTCACCAGCCCAAACTCTCACAGAAGACCAATAACACTTTTAGAGATGATGGATAGTCCTAGAGGAAATTGGGACGGTTGGGGAAATGTACATTACAGGCTGAGAAAAAAGGACCTGTTCTCTCCATGTCTGTCCTTTTTTCTTTGTGTGAGCATGGAAAAAGGCGTAACACAGCACTCAAATCTGCACCATTCAGGACATGTTTAAGTACTGCATCAAAAAAGGAATCTGAATAATGGCTTCTCTTGTAAAATGGCGTACATAACAATATGAGCAATCATTACTATTGTCTCCATTAACAAACATACAGCTATTTTTGGGGCAGGTACGGTGTTGTTTTAGCTCCTCCTAATTGGGGTTTAGTTTAGGGGTGATAGCTTCTCCTTACCCCAAAATTTTTTTGAAAGATGTAACACTACTGAGTCAGGAGAAACATACTAAAATAAGCCCTTTAAAGCTTGAAATAGTAATTTAAAAGTCAGGGGAGTTGGGCCTAATTTCGCTGAGTTTTGGACCATGTTATACATCTCTAGGTATTAACGTCACATGCAAAGGCTTAAAAAAAGGTCCAGCATGACGTGTAGGTCAATGCAAAATCAACATTATACAGATGAACATGATTATGGCAATAGTAAACAACACACATCCTCAGAAGGTATGTCTTTCACCAAGTTTTGACTGAGTTCTCTTTGAATGCTCTTTCAACACGCTCGCAATCATCAGATTCATCCGCTCGAGGAAGGGGTCCAAAGCACAACCCACACTAGAAGATATTCTTTCACACGTTGCACATTGATTATGTGGTTTCTGACATTATATGCCCTTCTTTTGTCCATTTATATAGAAAGTAGTGTGTCATACAGTGTCACAGTTTGAGGCAAGTGGGTGCCGATTTAGGCATTCAGTTTGCAGAATGTTAAAATGTGTGATATTAGCTTCTATTATATATTAGCTACATTAGTCTTGTAGCTCACATGCAAAACTAAAGAAGTAAATTTCAGATACCAAACAAGTCTTGGGTGATCATCTACACTTAGGGTCATTGGTAAATATGATTTTTCACCAGCCTATTGATTTAACCTGAACACCCACAGGCAGAAAACCACTATATTGGTGTGAGTAGTTCGAGAAGAATGATTGCAATGATGTAAGCATGATAAATATGCATGTCACAGATGTGTCCAAATTCTTGTAAACATTTTGCAATACTTAGCTCATCAAGAATCATTCGTAGAGCCCATGGTAAGGTAGTGGATTGGTGTTTTATAGTTTTATGAGCACACTGCAGGTCTCCAAGCTGTCATGTCGATTTCAAAAAGTATTAGTAAACCATCAGCTTTATAGACAGTGCATCTCAGGACATACATTACAGCAGAGCTCGGCTCTTGTCTGACAGCATGGAGTGGGAAAATAAAGCGTAGCAACCTTGAGGAATCGGCTGGCTGAATTATACCCCTCCCTCCATCTCCCTCTCCACCTTGTAGAGATAAGCAGAGAAACAATCGAGAAGGCCCATCTCGACAAAACAAGGGGCTCCTGGCCCCATCCGTCTCCCCGGGCAACATAACAGAAGATATTGGAATAATAACTCAGGGATTACCAATATGTCAGTATAGAGTTTCCTCATCTCTTCGCACCTCTTCGTCAGCTGGTACAGATCAGCCTCGTACTTCTCAATGGCCAACTAGAGCGGGAGATAAAAGTAGAGCAGGAGTTAGAGGTAAGCTTTCTCATTCTGCCGTTCTCATTCCCCGAGAAGCAGTGCTGGCATGCTGAGTGCTATTGACCTCTAAGGCTGTTATTACTGCCACTTGTTTCCTACTGTCTGGTATCAAAGGAAGCTTTTACAGCAAGTGAATAAATTCTAGCGACACTATCTAGAGGAACTTCCACTTTGTCTGGAGAACATGTTGAGAGAACAGCTATGTAGGGAGTATTACCAGGCAGATTTAAGCCAGGTGGCCATTTACAACTTTTACCATTCCAACCTGTCGCCTGAGCCCCTTGCACTTTTAAAAATAAAAGTATATTAGAGTATTGCCATAGAAGAACCACTTTTGGTTCCCTCAAATAATCTTTCAAAGGATGGTTCTTTAAACATTTATGTAAATGAGAAGAAGAATCTTTTTGAAAGTTTAAAGAGCCTCCACATAATTAAGTTTGTTTTTCTAGAACTGTACGTCTAAGCCAAGAACCATTTGTGAACCTTTACTTTTGAGTGTAGCTCAGCTGCAGAGTGATTATGCACTGTGCTCATCATTTAGGCAGTACTGTTAGGAGGAAAGTGATTGATTCAGCTATCTGGTTATTCTGTTCACTCTGATGGTGATACTACTGTTTGAACTGCCACTTTTGTTTTATTGCACAATATTATAAACATTTTTACATTTACATACATTTTCTTTCTCTTAAGTTACACAAAGATCACTAACAATTACATCAATACATTTCTTCAGACAACATTTACCATAACTTGGCCAAGAGGATATTAATTAATTGCCCAGAATATTAATTCCAGCAAAACCAGTCTAAAAAAATTTAGACTTACCTTCAAATCCTTGGTGAATTTGGAGTGCTGGCTGCCGAGGTTTTTCCCCTTGTATGTTTTCCTGTACTGAATGACCTTCTGTAGCTCATTCTTCACAACTAGAAGGTGACACAAGGTAGTGATCATCTATCTTCTGTGCTCACTGAGGCAGATCCTTCTTTTAAATGGCCTCTTTCTGCAGGCCCCACACAGCCACAATGGAGATCTTACACTGGTGTCAACTATTTGAGCTCATAAACCAAGCCATCTGAGCCCATCACCACAGTGAAAGTTACTATTGCTCATGGTTAAACCTGACAGCAGCACATCAATCATCGGCCAGCGCAATACTTCTGTGCCTTCATCCACTTATTCAGTGACATTCAAGCAAACAGCAACAAGTTTGTAGCCAGTATGGGGCAACTTTTATGTGTGATATGCACATCTGCACTTTGGGAAACATTTGCTGCCGCTTTCTGCAAAGTGCTTCAAAGTGCACCTTTTTTGAAGGGGTTGAGTAACATCTAACAGGTTGATATCCCATAACCAGAAACACTTAATCAAGCACTTTTTTCCTGATGTTTATGTACATCTTCTGAGCTCTTGCATCCTTGGTAAATACTTAAAATAGTTGTAATACTTACCATCCACCTCAGCTGTTAGGCCTTTAACTGAAGCTAATGGAGAAACCACAGAAACAAACGATCAAAAGGCATTCAAAGCAGCTCCAAAAGCCACTATCCAATCTTCACTTTTTGATGCAGTTTTTGATTAGCCTACCCCCAGGGACCATCTCGAATTCCGCCAGCTCCCGGAAAAATGTGGCCAAACGGGGCTCGTGCAACATGATCTGCTCCACAAGGGCATGCATCAAGGTGAACCTCTTCTCATTCCCACGCAGTTGCGAGATCTATCCGGGGGAGAAGAGAAGGAGAAAAGGCCATGAGTGATGAAGTGATGAGGAAGACTTTCATGCACCTGCACTTCCAGCTGAAGGAAAAAAAACAAACAAAAAAGCACACACACACACACACACATACACACACACACACACACACACACAAACCACAAGAACTCCTTACCCGACACGCCTACTAGGACAGGGGGCACACCAGGGGTGTAGCCACAGATAGATCTGGGTATTCCTGGGCCTACTCATATCGATCACAGGCCCACCCAAAAAGTGTTGTGCGTCTATGGTAGCTGTGGGGTGTAAACTAGAAGTAGGGATCATTCACATATCTCTGACTGCATGTCTTTGAACTTTAGCAAACTCCACACAGAAAGGACCCTGGTCACCCAGCTGGGAATCGAACCTAGGTCCTTCTTGCGGTGAGCTAACTGCGCCACTGTGCCACCCTTAATGTGAACACATCAGAGTGAAAATATCTTGAAACACAACATGCAGAAGTGCCAACAGGTCTATTGAAGGTCTGAAAAAAATGGGGCCTATAGATGCTTTTTCTAGGTAACAATGTAAAAGTATTGGCACGGTCATCATAGGCACTTTTTATTGGGGCCTATAGGGGGCACTAGAAGGCAGTTTGAAAACAAGGACATTCTGGTTTGTAATTCCCACTGACTACCGGAAGTAAAGTGATGACATCAATGAAGTGAAACACAAGATTTCATTAGCCCATGCAACTAAGGACCAAACAAACGGAAAACCAATGGAAATGTGGTCTTAATGAGTTTTGCTTAGATTATTGAAAGTTATCCACGAGTTACAGAGAAATTATTTTGCATTTGTCTTTTGCACTGAAGTCTCAAGAATCTATCATATTTTACCAAATCTCTCTATGACAAACAATCCAGTGGGGCACAGTGGGGTCACTGGTTTCCCTGCAGAGTTCTAAGGGTTAAGGTGCATTTTTTTAAGGTATTGTTTGCTTTCTGTGTCACTGTGTCACAGCCAATCAAATCATTACGCTTTCCGCCAAGACCTGCCTCATTTTTTCAGCCCTCCTGTCACTCCTTAGCAAACATTGCTATCCACCATTGCCTCAAGCTTTCAGTCTGTTATCAGTGTGCCAGTGTTTAAATTTGAAGCATCAGCTGCACTCAAAAGATGGGAAAAACTGAGATTCTGTACATGATAGAGTAGAATATGTTGCTGTCTATCCTTCCAAAGCTAAAAACAAATAATTAAAATGGTCCATAAACATTTTTCATGCCCACCGTGGCAGTATGCTTTAGCCTAGGATGATTAGGTTTCAAGTTTCCTATGTTGCTTTTGTTTATCTCAGCTGCCTAATTTGAACTTTTACATTATGCTGTTTTCACTAGGCAGAGGTTTTTGTGGTGAGCTGATGCATGCTTTATAATGTGCATAGTGTGTACATAGTCTTACTGTTGTATTAACATAGGGCTGAAGTGTCTGAACAGGTAGGGTGAAAACTGCACTGCTGTCAGCAATAGACAGCAGCCTGATGTTATGACACTTCAGGACACTGCACCTCACTGGCCTTTCACAGGCCTACACAAAAATTGATTTATTTCTGCCTATGCAACTGGGGCACAAAATTTAGGTGGAAATGTAAACAAACATTCTGTTTTAGTGCATGTGCTTACTTAAGTAAGCAGAAAAAAAACAAGTGAGTTTTTCCAAGAGAGACAGAACGAGCCCATGAATACCCAAGGCCAAAGCCAGAAAGAGACGTGAACGTTTAACACCCACGTACTATTTACCCACAGTACAACTAAAAATGGAACCTTTTTATGCCCTCATAGTTGTACTGAAGCACGCTTCTTTTGTGTAGGCAGGGAAGCACTGTCCACAAGGATCTCCTTGACTTCCTACAGTTACTGCTTAGTTCTGTAAGGCAACAACACAGCAAAGGCCACAGTAAAGTGGGCCTTGGGCTTGGGTGGGTGTGCTTTAAAAGTGACAGCTCAAGGTTGACAGTGGAGTGTGTTTTGGTCGATCCTACTTGCTTTGAGTCACCACACTTGAATGTGTGCAGTAGTTACCAGCTAATTTTTTTTAGATTTTCACATGCAGATATAATATAAGGATTACTAAAGACACAAATCTCTTAATTCACTGTAGACCTCTCATGTGTCATTAGACACTTTAAGGACATAAGCATGTTCTTTCATTTAACCCTTAAAAGCCTAGAGCAGTGGTTTTCAAACTGTGGACTGTGGCCCCCCAGTTGTACTGCTAGAAGGCCGTGTTCGTTGTTTGAGACATTGAACCAAATGTTATTTTAAATATGTCTGATTACTTTTAAAAACATCATATTTAGGTTGACCTCATTTATTAACCTTATTTTCAGTGCAGGTCAAAGTAAAAGATTTCTCTTTTCATTTAGATGGAATTCATCCATCATGAATAAATGGTTACAAATAAAGTCTTTCAAAAAGAAAGATCCAGAGGCTGGGCCATCATATGTTAGACTGAGAAAACCAAGAAAACTAAAAACCAAGTATTAACCGAAATGAAGAAAATACAGCAGTGGGTACAAAGCCTTATTGTGCTGCAACAAAACGAACAAACAGGCTTCAGCTGAGATCTCCTTTACTCCTCCTTTACTCCTCACAAAACAGGCAACAATGACATTGTGAGCTACTTTCCATTTTGGAAAACTAAAAGGAGCATGGAGAGTTTCACCATCTCATTCAGCAGCTGGAACATAATGAGAGCTTTCATTTACAGCTCAGATGTTTGTAACTCAGTTTGAGCCTCATTTGAGCTGCTTTTGGAGATGCTATCACCATCCATGAGAAAGCAAAAGCCAAACGAATCCTGTTACTAGTGAAAGTTCACAAATATCAAACAGAGTGTAAATAAAATAATGTATTAGTATTAACCGTGACCCAGAGGGATAAGCGGTTTAGATGATGGATGTATGTATGTATGTATTAGTATTATTTAATAAATAATATTATCAATTATGCATGTTTAAATTGATTGACTGCTGTCCAAAAATACTGCACGAATAAAATGCCTTCAGTGTGTAAATGCCTTTTAAGCTTTAAAGTCAAATTATGCCATCAATTGGAAGCTAAACAAATATGCATTTAACCTACTGTACTGAGCCAGACCTCCTTTCTCCTTTCAACTTTCATTACATCAGCAGGTCAGCCCGCACTTGGTAGTTGCCAAACAACATCAGCTAACTGAGTTAGAAAATAGTTTTTAAATATGAAAACTTGAGGGACTGGTGGTAGGAGTGAACTGTTTCTAATTTCTCAATGAATGTGTGGAAGAGTGCATCACCAAACTAGAAAACAGCATTTCCAAACGAAGAACTGTTAAACCAAACAACAGTGCTGCTGTGGCAAGTGGGATGGCAGCCAGCCAACACTGGAGTAGCCGAATACCAGGGGGTATTTCGCACAATGGTATACACAGGTCATTAGGTATTAAGTGTCGTAAAAATACGTAACTGCTGTAATCGTTGACTTCAGAGTTTCGTTCAGACTGAGCTACTGCAAACTGTTGGGCAGCCCACTCTCGAATAAAGATCTCATTTTCCAAATTCCGGCAGCACCTGAAGGTTGGATGTACAAGTGTATAGGAGGCATATGAGACAAAAGCCTTGAGAAATTTGACAAGCTGAAGTTGGCTTCTCATTAGAAATTCCTGTCCCACCTTAAAAGGTGCAGCAGTTACACTGAAGTGTCTGTACAGGTGCCAGAATGTAACTGCTGCTCCATTTAAGATAATTCAAACAAAGCTGTCACATAAGAAGCCAACTTCAGCTTTGTAGAGATTAAGAGGTGAAACATATTTAGCATATTTAGCTTAAACCATCTGAAATGTTCATTATACTATGATATAAATTTATAGCCATATCACATATTATGGTGATTTTTTTTTCTCAAATAATTACTTGTGTTGAAAAATAATCAAACTGATGAGTAATAACTAATTTTTAAGTCATTATTTACTTATTTTCTTGAGAAAATAAGTCATTATTTCAACCTAATTAGTCACAATTTGAACCAGTTTTTTCTATCTGGCAGAAACAATGTTACTCACAACGGCTTGTTTGCCACCCCCACCGCCACAAAATGTCACTGGACTGTCAGTAACTTGCACCTTTTCAGTAAATCTGCCCCATTTTCAGAAAAATAGTTTAGTGCTTTTGTATATTGTATTTGCTCAACAAAAGATATTTCTGTAGATATTCTGCTGCCTCTTCACAAGTGGCTCTTAACTGAAGCACAGTGGAGACTCAGCTAATCTTGGACTGTTTCTAGGTTATGTTGTTTACCAATTTAAAGCCCAAAGCCACTCCCAAAGGAGCAGCTCAGTCCGCTTTCACAGCAGCTGGCAGTTTGCTCTGTTTCACTCACTTCCCAGGAGCAGAAGCAATAGTGACAGTCAGGGGTTATACAGAATAGTCCAGTGATTCTTAAGATGGGGGTCATGAGAGATCGTTTAGGGGTCATAGGATGGTTGTCAAAAATAAAAATGATACAATGGTATGAAACACGCTATCACATCAGGAGATCGAGAGTTCGATCACCAGCGATGCCCAAGCCATCTATGGCCAGGAGTCCAAATGAGCATGACTGGCCTTGCTGGGCCTCGGTTGGCCCTCTCTCTACTCCATCACTTGGTGCAGTGTTAGCCAATATGGGCACTTGTTAGCTAATGTAACAGAACTGGCAGTTAGGGTTTACCTCCAAGCATGCTGAACTATCTAATATTGTTGCATTAGTAGCAGCTGAAGTGAATGAAGTGCACAGCTTCAGAAAAATGGGAAAAAATCAAGTAAATTACCCAGGCTCTAAATTCTCTGTTGTCTAGTGTAAATAAAATTCAGATTCAACACAAAAAAAATGTCAAATTAACTCACGCAAACCTGACCTTTAGGTGACTTTATCAAACTGGTATTTGTGCTGTAATAGAACAACAGCTACAACATGAAGCAGTGAGGCAAGTTTTTTGCTGACCACCTGCTGCTATTGTTGCTTCAAGTCCCAAATTTTAGCAAACCCAACCTATAATTTTAAATGACACCTTTTCAACTACTTTTTGGAACATGCTCTCTGGTTAGTAATAGTAAAAATGAATAGTCCTGCAGCCCCTAGCACCAGGCAGGCTAATGACAGAGCAGACTGAGTGGGCTCCGTCGCCTCATTAGCTGAGAGGAAGACTTCTCACATCTGGGGCAAGTGCCTTTAAATCTTGCCGCCAAGGGAGTTGGATTTCCACGGCGCCGGCCGATAAAAATCAATACAAATTACCGCTACGGCGCTAACGACTCAGCCAGGCCTGAAATAATTCCAAAACAAATGCACACGGCAGAGCTAGCGTGAAGCTAATGAAGGTGGAGAGGGAGTAGGGGGTGCTGGTGGCTAACAAGCTTCCTCATCCTTCTACTCCTAAGAGAAGAAAAGAAACAAAAGAGTTTATGAAGGTGACACATCTGACCTAGGAGAACTGAACGGATTGTGAGCCCGTAACTCATAAGCTCTTTACAGGGAGGGTTGGGGAGGGATGCAAGAAAAGGTGTGTGTTGTTGGGGACAGAACCTTGCTTTCTCAAGAGAGCAAGGTGGACAAAGAGGAGAAAGAACGTGAGAGAAAGAGAGAGAGAGAGAGAGAACTGATGATGTATGAATATTACTAGATTATTAAACCTATTTCTATATATTTTTCTTAATGTACATTTTAAGTACATTTCATTCATTCATTAATGCAAATAAAATCAGAAAGCAACAATCTGTAAATCCACGTTGACCTGTTTTTATACACAACATTTTGAAATTGATGCCTGAAACTCATTCAAAAAGTTGGGACAGGAGCAATTTAAGACTTGGTGCATTGTAAAATGGTTTTTAAAAAAATCATAAACAGGTAATACAATCAAAACAAAAAAATAGCATATGCGAAAGGCCTGGCCATTTGTGAAATGGGTCAAGGCTCGCTACTTTGTCAAAAAAAAATGCACCAGCAAGTGATTCAACAGACGAACAGCAACATTCCTGAAAAAAGCAAATGCAATGATTTTAGTTATTTCACCCACTACAATGCATAATATCATCTAAAGATTTAGAGACTCTCTGAGGACTCTCAGATGGTACTGCATTACAAACCAGCATGCTTTTGTAATGGATATTGCCATTACAAAATCACCATCACCATCTGGAATACTTTGACAAATGGTTGTCAAGAAACACAGTTCATCCCTTCATCCACAAATGCAAGTTAAGGCTGCACTATGCACAGTGGAAGCCACGTGTCAACAACATCCAGAAACACCGCCAACTTCTCTGGGTTTGAGCTCCTCTGAAATGGACTGGTGCACAGCGGAAAAATGTTTTGTAATCTGATGAGTCAATAATAGAAGGATCATCCAGACTGTCACCAGTGTAAAACTTCAACAGCCAGGGTCTGTCATCATATTGGGGTGTATTAGAAGGTAACTTGCTTATCTGTGAAGGCATCATTATCGCTAAAGGATATACACATATTATGGAGCAAACATATGCTGCCTTCTAGACAACATTTTTTTCAGGAATGTCTACACTTATTTTAACAAGACAACGCCAAGCGGAACTTGGATTCTGCATGTATGACAACAGTATGGCTGCATAATCAGAGAATGCAGGTACTAGACCGGCCTTCCTGTCTCAGTCCCCAAATGTAAACATGCTTCTTTCCTAACTCTTTTCGGAAAGTGTTGCAGGAATCAAATTTGGAATTTGTGTATATCTTTTAAAATAAATGAATAAATATATAAGTAACAAAAAACAAAGTTCATAAGAAAAAGTTGTTTTTATACTGTTTTTAGTTTACTACAAACAGAACTGACATAGGTTTTGTTTTTTTAACATTTCACATACATCATGCAAAGTAAAAATTGTAAGTAAATTCTAACTGAATTACAACTAAAATATAAAAAGACTTTATAAGTGAAAAAAAATTCACTTCGTAATCCACTTTCTCTAAGTAAAAATGTCCAGAAGTAGTTAGAATAATCTCAGAATACTCTTAGAACAGTTTCATAATGAGAAATATCAAACATGTTGCATGCAATTAAAATGCTTTCACTTGCCAAGATATCATTTTTTACAGTAAGCAAGCATCAGCGACTCAGACATTGAGCACAAGAGAGCATTTCTGACCCAGACAGAGAGAGAAAATGAGAGGCTGTGAAGAGGGAGCAGGATGGAGATAGACGGCATTTTCCCTGTATGCCAATGAGCAGTCTTATTAGCCTTTGGTCCTCTCGGCTCCCCCCAGAGGTCATTGGCAGGCGGCACCGGGTCTTACCTTAGTTAGAGATGAGAGGCGGAATCCCTTGGCCTTTTCTTTGCCCGCGTTCTGGTTGAGGTAATTGCCCATGGCCAGTAGGTACTCCAGCACGCAGACGAACGCTTCGCAGCCCCACAGCTGCTGGCACATGCGGATCTTCTGGTTAATCAGCTGCAAGACAAACAGAGAGGCCAGAGCGTGTCATATCCCTTGAATATAGGTGCCAACACGCCTCCACTGCAGTGATTTCTCACGAGCGCTGCTGTTAATGATGGCTCTCGCACCAGAGCACGCACACAGTTAATGAACAATTAGATGGCTTTCATAATGGAGGGGAAGCAGTGCGAATGTTGTAGCGAGACGTGAAGCGATGGAGGCCTTGAGCAGCGATCGCAGGGAATGAATTAAATTAAAAGTTTGAAAATGTAAAAGGTGGGATGGCTGTTGCCAGCTGAGAAAAACTTCTGATACTTTTTTTTCCCTCTTTTTTTCCCTCAGTGACGACAGAAGCAAATTCTTACCACAAAATCTGCAGACTGGGACCAGCCTTGAACCAAACCTGTAATATCCATTACCTCTAATTAATTACGCTAAATTAGATACACTGCATTCGTTCAGGCAGCCTGATTAACATTCATATTAATTCCACAAGTAACAAGCTGATTTCCCTCCCGAGGACGGCTTCCTACAAACAGGTTGGGGTACTCTAAACCTGCGCTGGAGCTCAGAGCTGCAGCTGTTCATTGGCAATGCTGTTTGCGTCGGTGCTTAGCAGTGGGTCTCATGCCCTCTATGCTGTGGAGAGAAAAGGGGAACACTAGCTTGTGATGGAGCCTTCGCACACACACACACACAGCCCAGCGTGAGCCACAATCTCCCAGAGACGTGGCATCTGGCCACTAGCTCGGCGTGTGTCCTTCGGCCTTGTGCTCGACAGCTGCCTCACCCAGGAGGCCTTCATTCCATCAGAAACTTTTTCAGAAGTTTACCTCACCAGCTGAGCCACGACAGCTATGGTGATTCTACAAAACACTACAGAATCCAATTCAACTAATAGGCCTTAGGCTCCCAGACAAACACACAAAATCTTTTTTTACTCTTAACTAACAAAGTGTATTAACACAAATTTACACAATTAGGCTGGCTTTCCTTGACAATGCAACTTGCTTGAAACCTACATTAAACTAAATTGCACTTGAGATGCATAATGTAAACTGTCTTGCAACTCATTTGAAACTCAGCCACAACAGTTGCAAGTAACTTCGTCAAAAAACTCATAAAACAGCCAATCGAAACAATGGTAGCACATCACGTGACCACGTTGAACAACATACTGGGTGTTTTACTGGGTGGTTGAAAAAGGGACCCTCCCCAACCTACTCAAGTTTTTCATTTTGTCAGTTTCCTGAGCCATAACAAAGAGCAAACAAGTTTCTCGAATGCAACAGCTGGTTTAAGTAGGCAGCTAATGCTAACAGCTGTTTAAATGGCTCCTTGTGACACCACTTATTCTTCTTTGTTAGCATGCTGTTATCGTGATTTACATAGCTAGACTCATTTTCTCCTTTTCTGATGCCCCCAGTTATTACACAGAGCTCAGATTTGTTTGGAATCCAAAGGATAGAAATTATTACAGAAGGGGAGACTGAGATGTGCTCCTCAGTTAACTTGTTGTGCTTCTTGGACAGGTTGAGTGAGACTATAACTGTAATGGCTACTTTAACATTCACGTACACATAGAGTATTAGTAGTAAAGAATCTTAAACAGATAAAAAGCAAATATATAGATATAAAAAAGGCAAACACAGCTGAAAAAATATACAAAGATGATAAAAATACTGCAAATATGTAAATAAGACCATACAGATGACTTAATAGCGAGAAATGATAGAATATTGCTAGAATATGAGCTGCTAACCTGTCTAACTAGTGGAGTAAGTGAATGTGTTGTTTGCAACTTGTAACTGTCAAGTTGTGTGTAACCATGTTAAGTGATGTCCTCTTTTACCCTTTTTGTTCAAAAGGGTCTAAATTCACTTTTAGCTAACTTTACTGATCTCTAAAGCCGTTTTCTAGCGTTTTTAGCATTTGTAATTCTAATGTAAATCTAATTTGTGTGTAATTAGTCTATTACAGTTTTCCTTTGTGCCTGGGTAATTTATAGTATCTTATTACAAGGTATTTTGTGAATATAATAAGTGCTTAATGTTAGCAGTGATTACTGAATAAAAAGTCTTAAGATTGATACCTGAATAATAAGATTATTATTACTGAATAATAAAACATTTAAAGCATTACTGTATTTAGGAGTGTAATAATCAGCATATTTTATTCTGTCGTTCTATAGAGCCACTCAATTCAAAATGCACACGTAATCAAATAATGCATTTAACAGACTAGAGCAAACGAAGTACTCAGTTTAATACTGACTATTTTTACACAAGCAAGCCCACAATGAGAGCAGACCCTCCCTCCTCTAAAAATATTGCTTCAAAATTACCTTAAAATCAAGAGCTGGGAAGAAATGCCCTCTCCATGCACATTAGCTTGTGGCTAGTTGCCTATTATAAAATATTGTACTTTTACAATGTCAAATTTATTGTATCAAACCAAATTATGAAATAGTTGTGAATCAGTACTATCATACTATTATCATCATCATTATTAGTTATAATTTTACTACTATTATTATTAGCATTTTTGTAATTGCTGTTATTATTATTTTTATTATGACAATAAAACCTCTAAGATTGCGTTTGTATGTACAGAATAAGTTATATGCACTGCACAGTTCCTCATCACATGAAGCTACTTCATCTCCTATTCATTCTTCCTTCTTCTCTTGCATTTAATTTTATCCCACTCATCAGCTCTTAAGCACAGCGGCACACTGCACTTCCAAACTCCAGCACCACTGGGGCCGCTGCTTTCTCTCCCGCCACAGAGACACAGCAGGTCACACCTGGAGAGCTCTCTACATTCCCCCAGCTGAGCCGGCCCTATTTTCCAGCCTAGCGCCCTGCCCGTCAGATGGCGGGCAAATCCGCCTTAATGTTGTGGGCTTAAAAAGTCTAGCGTGTCAGACAATCCTGCGGATTTAGAGTCAGCGGTGGAAATAGAAGCCTCAGCTCCATCTTGTTTACGGCACAGCACTTTTTGCAGGGGGCCACATTGCGCTCCGCCTACGACTACCGAACCTGTCCTCCACACCACACACGCACACACCTTGGAGAAGAGTTGAAGCTTTTAGACTGTGAGTTTCACATTGTTCCATTTGCCATTAGAGAAGGAAGTACCAGCACATAGGTGCAAATGGGATGTCAGTCACATGCCTGTCGACAAGTACATTTGCATAAGTTGAGGCAATGTAACGAAATGGGCATGCTATCCAAAATCATCTTAGTACTTGTTTATATAATTGGATATTCAAATAAGACGTGTAATTGTGCATAGATTTTAAATACATTATCAACTAAGACAAATGATTGAAATTGTATCTCCTGTTGAAATTGCACTTTGTTTTTTGAACTGAGTCAGAAGAAAAAAACACGCTAAACTATGGTGCCTGTGTGCTGATGCGAGTCACTATAATACTTTAACCCCTTAAAATCCCAGGTTTATTACATACTAAGGCTTATTATTGAGTAATTACAGGGACTTCAATGCAAACTGGCTGAGCTATTCTTGGTTTATAGAAGTGTGTAATAAACCTGCCAGTGAGCCCTGGCCAGTTAAGGGGTTAAAATAAGGGTGGGGTCAGATTCTGAGTTTTTCGAAAGACATCAAACGTGCACAGGCTTGAAAAGAAGGTCCACCGTTAGCTTGGCACTAAAATAAAATCTCATAGCACTGGTAAAAAAAAGGCTACCAGGGTAAAATGGCTACTTAACCATGTATGTTTGTGTGGTAATTAATTAATATAGGCATTCAGTCATAACTGACATTGTTATGACAAGAAGTCCACGAAATGTCCCTAAAATATGGATGAATATCTGTTGCTTGGTCTCACGTGTTCATCCTATGTGTTTACCATTAACAATATTAAATACTTCTCATTGGGAACATGATACTCAAAAATTATTTGTTTCAAAAGTTGGACATTCAAACAGCAAAAATCAAGTTCAAATGCCCATTTCTAGTGATGAAACATTGCTTTTTCCACTGGTGTAGAAAAATCAGGCTACTCTATCTGTGTCCTCACGAGAGAGTAGTTTGCTTGCTTTGCTCTCTTTAGTTTCCCTCCTCATTGCAGATTTGGAACTCTCTGAAGGCTGACCACCAATTCCACATGCTCAATCAGCCAACACAGTGCTGATGAGAGCTGACTAAATCCTGTGATACAGGACACAGCACAAAAACTATGAGCAATGGTGGCCCACCAAAGCTCACTGACAGCCAGATCTTCTGTTTTCATTTTCATCTGAAATATTTTCTCATAGGGGCATTTGAATACTGTCTGTTTAAACAGCAAAAACTCAAATAGAATAAATGTTTCACAGGCCTATGACTAATTCTGAGTAGTTTGGAAGGTAGGATTTCCAACCGTCAAGGAGACTGTTCCAGGTACCTGAGCCCCAGACAGAGCCACGAGAGGCGGCATGAGGATGGTGCCCAAGCCCCGGAAAACAACGAGAGCCTTGAGAGGTGGCATGAGGACAGTGCCAGAGCTCCGCCCGGCAATGAGAGAAGCGAGGGGAGGTGTGAGGATGCTGCCCGAGCCCAGAGTGCCACTGAGAGCCACAAGATGTGACATGAGGCCAGTGCTCAAGCCCCTGCCTCCTGTTTTGCACTGCACTACACCTGATGTTCTGCCCTGGTGGCTGTGCTGCGGAGTGGGGCAGTGACAAGTAAACAGAGCAACAAGCCCTCTCTTTCCCTCTCACCTCAGGGGTTCACGCTGCCCTTAACAAGAGCCAGCTGATGCTGGTTTGGCTTTGGCAATGCAGGCACCTTTAAAAGGAGCAGACACTGACGAGAGAGGGAGAAACAGACGATCGGCAGAGCAGAAGCGGACAGGGGAAAGTTGAAAAGCCTGTGGTGTTAAAAGACACTATAGAGTTAAAAGCACCTGAAAATCGGTGGGGTTTAGTATAGTTGTGTTTGTTTTGTGTAAGAAAATAAAGTATGTGTCTGCTGAAACTGTCCACTCTGCCTCATGCATCCTTCCTCCTCCTGGGGTAGTACATGGGGTGCTACAGAGATTTTTAGTGGGTTTTTATTTTAAACAGGCCATTTATTATAAAAAATGGTTTTCATTTATGAAAGAACATGGACGCAAAATCAAAGTAAAATACATGAATGTTTGAGTGTCTTTTTAACAAGGGTGTTGCAGTATGCAGGAAAACATTTCTGTACATTTACTGTCAGATTTACAGCTGCGAAAAAAAGCTGCAGTAGACTCTCCCCCAAGGAAAAACAAAAAAACAAATAATCTCCTGGTTTTCTGTTAGATGGAGCTGGCACCCCGACAACATCGCACACACAGTAATAACTTTTACTGATTTGTAACTGTGAACAGAAACTCACAATTGTCACTAGCTCGTCTGCATGAGTTCCACTAATAATTTCAATGTTCCCGGCTTCACGTCAGTAGGTGACACAGTGAGGACACAGAAAGAAGAACAGAGGGACAGAAGGACACATGCAACTGCTGCTGAAATAACTGTCAATCCCCAAGGCTAGAATGTAAGCCCTCGAATGGCACACAACTGCTGAGTCAAGTACAATTCCTCCACTGTATATTCCCCATAACCTCAGACAAATCCCCTCCTCACACGCTGGTTTTGACACCCGACTTCAGACTTTCATCAACGGTTAGCTTATGGAGTTTTCTGAAGACTAATGCCATATGCTGCCTTCCCATAACGCTGCACTTTCGTCCAATGAAGGGTGTTTTCAGCTAAGCGAGTGCATCCGGTTTCAGAAAATAGCGCATGTAATGAGAAAGCAAAAGACCAATGATCACGAAAGAGACTCAAATGAAGGCTAACTTCCCAAACAACTGGGGAAATTGAAGAGGAATTGGAGGATAAAACTTTTCTCTTTGTCTCCGTTCAGCCAAGGAAGGCTATCAAACTGCTTATGGTGCCGTTCTCCCCTCTGGCCCCACCTTACCTTTCTCCCTGTAATAAAGGATCTGAAGGACTCCAAAGAGATTGGCCATTAGAAAAACCCTCACCCAGCTCTAAGTGCAGAATCTTTAGGAGCAAAGCAACTACACATTAATGCATGACTTTTTTTTTCCTCTCCCACAAATCCATTTCATTTATTTCTCCAGGAGCCTGCTGTCTACCAGAATTATCTTTTGCATTAGTGAATGAGCTTTTTATTCTTTCTCTTTGGGAGTTTTTTCTTTTTCTTCCTTTTTTTTTGCATATAGTTTGCCAGGAAGCACCTTCATGAGGCTTTCGCAATGCAATCTGGGTTTCCACTCAGAGCGTACAAGAGGCCCGACTTCATATGAGATTGTTTTTCCAAAAACAAACTTTTCAATTTCTAGTTATGAGCCCGCTGTCAATCGTAATCACCACTGCAATGCACTGTTAACTACAAAACAAATGCTTGTGCGCACACTCTCACACATCAATTGGCATTCACTTGCATATATTCTCTACTTTTCCTTAACTTAGAAGGAGTAATGATTGCATCTTTGGAGCTTTTCTTCTACAGAACACTGTCCTCTAGTCTAAATCAGAACATCTGCGACACCCCTACTACCCCATTATTAGCACAAAGCCACAATCTGCATCTGTATCTGTTTAGTGGGGTGTCACAATACACATGTTAATATAGTTTTTTTTGTTAGGGGGGGGTTGCGAGATGATACACGCTGTGAATCGATTACAGTTAGGGCATTTCCACACTTGTTACAAATACTTGAGGCTCGTTTGGGGCTCATTATCACTGGTTTGCCTTCACACACAAGAATTCCATCTGTACCATGGATTGATTGCAACTCCATACGTCACTTTTCTGCACGCAAGTTTGCAAAATGGTGGGCAGAAATTTCATTTGTTTGCCTTTTTATTTTTTTTTTCTTTGATACAAACACTCAAGCGGCGAAGAACAGTGCTTTTTGGATACATGGCATTTCACTGTGCAGGAGCACCTGAGCACCAGCAAACGAGGAGCTGTCTCTTCTGCTGTCCACAACAATCCTTTCCACGCAAAACTTAATAAGGGAAGTGACATGATAACTTGAAGCAGTCATGTTACAAAAAGAACCAATCCCACATGTGACACCAAGAGTGGAGAGCTTCCAAACGTGCAGCAGAGTTCGCTGGAAGGGAACCCCATTCCCTTAGTCAAGTACAACACTGATGGACAAAAAGTGGTAAATCAAACAGTGACAGTGTGTCAACATTGCTCAACACAAGGATCGAATACCCGTGCTGAAACATCAAATATGCTAATTTGTGAAGACACTGCATTTGTCAGTTATGGGAGCAAGGAAAAAACACGAAGCTAAAATCAGTCACTTTTGCATTTAAATTTTCCCTTCCATCTTAAATGGAGGAGCAGTTACATGTTACTCCTGCTCCATTTAAGATGGAATGGAAATTTTTAATGAGAAGCTGGCAAATAGGAAGCCAATTTCAGCTTCATGGAGAAAACACGAGTCACAGTAGCTACTTCTCCCCACAGATTTCAAACAGCCACTAAATGTCAATTCAGAAAGTGTGAAGCAAATAACTTACTCTGTAGGGATGTTAACAGATACTGATTTGCACATCTATTTGGTTGTAGAGTTCACCTCTATTCAGTTGTATAGTCCACCTCTATTCAGTTGTATAGCCAACCTCTTTTCTTTTTTCTTTTGCTTGGGACAATTGATCCAAGTTAGATCTCCTCTCTCACTCATTTCAGCCACAAGGTAAAAGTAACAATTTATATAGAAACCCAAGGTCTGACTGTAAAACTATAATGCTTAGTTCATTTACATTTTTTTTTCTTTTATATAGACATTGCATTTGCACTTATATTCTTTTTAATTTATTTTATGCCTTCAAAGAAAATGACTTACATAACCTACAAAAAATTTATAATGTGGACCATAAGGGAAAAAATAAAATGTAGGAAAAATGTAGGATATGGACCCTTAATGTGTTTTGATGTGAACTGCTCTGTTAATCTAATTTACTCTAAAGCAACCTCATAGAAAGTTATTAAATGAGATGTCTTTTACAAAATACTGGGGGATTTATAGGGCCTATTTCAACTGTGCTGGTTGCCCCTGCATGTGCATTTTTAAATTGGTTGGGGCTCTGGGCTCCTGAGTGGTGCGTCCATCTACACTGTAAAAGCTGGCAAGTGAAATCTTAAATTTGGTCAATGTATCTAATATGTCTCATTTTGAAACTGTAATAATTATGTTTTAAAACATTTATTATTTTACATTAATTATGTTTTATTAAGTAAAATTTTCTCACTATATTGTAATGAACAACATTGTCTGCCAATATAGTAAAATAATTTGGTACAGAGCAATGTGTAGGTAATGTGAAGTGAGATTGCTTTTTCCAGGAAGTAATCAGTAATGTAATCCCAGTACATTTTGAGAGAAGTACTTAGTACCTTGTAATTAATTACTTTTTTAATAATTACCCAACGCTGAAGCCTGTTTTGATCAGCAATCTGTTCTGACTGAAAATCAAAGTTAGCTTTGGTAGTGTAGTAACACGTATTGCTTTCCTCACTATTCTTACATTGAAAATGACAAAGTAATCACTGCAATTGCAAATAACAGATATTTTTTAAAATATGTATATATTTTAGAATAGAATTGAACATCAACACCTACAGTATAGCTAATTAAACATTTTTTGGGGGCCCTTGGCTGATGGGGCCCTAGGCAGCTGCCTACCTTGGCCTAGTGCAAAGACCGCCCCTGTCTGTGGTTAAGTAGTTGCACGCACAACAAAACCAACACTGAGCAGCTGAATGTCCCACAACCAAATTTAAACTGGATTTACACTGAAGGAGTGGTTCCAGAGTAACCCAATCACCAGCTTTTTGCAGAGGTTATGAAGGATACAGAACCAGCAAAGACATCAGAAGTGAAAGAATCATCTCGACATGACAAGTTAGAGCAATCTTACAGAATTGTACACAAATATGAGTCTGCGAAGTTTTATTATTAGTTTATAAAAACTAACATAACAAGAATAACAAAAAAGAATGTTCAAGTTTTAGTTTTGCTAAAATACTGTTCAGCATCTGTCTTGCATCCTTTTATGTCTTTTAGCTCTCACCAACGAGTAACAGCCAGCCTGAGATTTACTTTTGTCCAGTCTTTTTCTTTTCCTCTTCCTCGTGTCCTCCGACAACGTCTTTTTCGGGCTCTTCACAGCCTCTGCTGTGATGTCCATACTGGGAATACTGAGCTAGCTTCTTCTCACAGCTTGACCCATAGTTGTTGGTATGTGACATGGTGCCACAAAGCATTTGGCAGTTCTCGAGAGAGGTCTTGTGCACGCTCCACCAAAGTTACATAATGCTATAGCAGGCATTCCAGGCTTGGAGTAGCAATGACAGAGACGCCATTCTACCTATTGCAAATCAGTGTACCATCAAAATGATTCGAAAGCTGTTTTTTCTACAGCTGGAAAATCTTTCAGAAGTACCTGCACAGGTATAAATACAATCTCATCTGTTCTACATTCACAATGTATTCTAATTTGTATCTGTTTAGCACACATTATCTGTTCATTCCAAATAATGTATTCAGCTCCATTGCTAACTAACCTCTGAATGAATAGCAGCCCATAATTCAGGGACAAGTCTGGAGAAAAGGATAGTGTGAATAAAAGAGAGAAAGAGACAGAGATTGACTGACCGGTTTCAGGTCATCCATGCTGATGGGCAGTTCTCTGAGGGTCAGCAACAGGTCCAGCTGAGGGCTCAGGTACGGGATATTACACAGCTGAGGAGGAAGTGACACATAGTGATTAAAAACTGTCAAACATGTCTTCATTTTCAATCAAGCTCTCACTGTTTCTCTTCTCTATCGGTGATGTGGCAAGCATCCTGACCAACCTCAGATGTTTCTGTGGGTGTTCTGATGAATCGAGATGAATTCATTTGGGTCAAGATCAACACAGACCAGTGTTTAACCATGTCACATAAAGGCCTGCCAGTGTGTTTGTAATGTACTGCATGCTATACCACAATTGCAGTATATAGCATGAGTGGAAACTACAGTGAGGGGAAACAAGTAATCAGACATTTTTGTTTTTGTGGTGTAATATAGTTCCCATGTAAATATTCACTTCTAATTTACACACATCTTTTGAGTTTGTACTTATTAATATGAACACAAAATGATGTCTTCATAAGCATAATCAAAGATAGATTTAAAAAACTAAATTGATAAACTAAACTGAAAAAATATTCAGGCACCACAAGTTAATAACATTAGAAATTAGCTTTTGGAGCACTGTGGATCAGTTGTAGCCCATTCCTCTTGGCAATTCTCTAGGGCTACAAGGATCACTCTGTTGAACTCGCAATTTTAAAATCCTCCATAAATTTACAATGGCTCTAAAGTCAGAAGATTGGCTAGGCCATGCAATGACCTTCAGACTTTTTAGAAACCAGTCTTGATTTATTTTGACTGTATGTTTGGGGTCATTGTCTTGTTGAAACTAGCATCTTGCATTTTGTTGAGATTAAATTCTGCTCTAGTATATTCATGTTACCCCGTGATTACATGTAATACTCAGTAATACACTTTTTCTTTTATAGCAGAGGAGTTTCGCATGGAGTTACTTTCAAATGACTGCTAGCTTCTGCCTTACCATACTTATCACTAGTCTGAGAGAAATGTTGCACGGCATTCCTGTCCAGGGATGATTAACTGCAGTTTCAACTGATTTCTAATTGCATATCATTGAAATAATTTTATTGACAGAAATGTTAAAGGTCTTTGCTAGAGCTCTGTAGCTCTGTAGCTGTATGGTTTTTTTTTATAGTAATTTGTCTATAATATATCTTTTATTTATCTGAACACTTTTAACCTTTTCTTTCTCATGAATACATATTTTTTGTTCATATTTATAAGTCAAAAGACATTACAAATGTGCAAATTTGAAGTGCATATGCGCACTGGAACTATAAAAAAAACAAGAGTGTCTGAATACTTGTTGTCCCTCAAAGTAAATACACACATGAAAAAAGTTCATAAAGTAAATAAAACACTGTAAGACAGTTCAGGTGACTGTTTTTTGTTTGAGGTAGTTTTTCTGTAAATATAATAGAGAAAATCTAAACAGAAAAAAGCAAGCCTGAGATCCATTTGGTCTTAAATTTCCCTAAACACTTCAGTCCAGGCAAGAACACAAATCATAAAGTGTCACATTAAACCTTCTCAGAGATTTTAGGTTGGTGAGGATTTTCTGGGAAGAAAAGAGACAGGATTTTTGCACGGCTGTTTTTTCCATCAGTGTGAACTTTGGCTGAGCACAGAATATTCATCTACATGTCATTATATTCTAGATGGACAGTGATCTAGTACAGAATCTTTTCCAATATTCTAATAATTAAGTCCTATTCAAGCTAAATAGGCCGATTCGTACGGGATAAAGGATCTGTGTAATTACCACAAATAGCCCGGATCGAAACATCATCACACAGACGTTTACCTCAGCATTATGCACAGGCACCACACTTCTGAATGACAACACACTGTGAAAAAAAAAAGTGACACTGGACGAGGGAGGAGACTTTACATCTCACCTCATCATGGGATGATGCCCGTTATCAATGGCAAGTCCAAATTATGGTGCATAATCATATTGTAAGGGAGGGAATATGTGAAAAAAAAACAGATGCGCCATTTTCTATTATCTGGTTATGTGATTACATTACTGTGATGCTGATTCGAACAGCGCTACCATTATTGAGCAGCTCTGAATTACAGAAGGTAATTCAGCCTGAAACTATTACTGTGCAGACTGGTAAAAATTATGGACAAGGCAGATTCATACTGGATTAAAATCATGGATCTTGCCAGTAATCGCTCAAATTACAGCACCTCCCCAGGTAAAACTAATCCAGCTTGAACAGGGCTTTAGAATGGTTTTAGATCACAAGCTCACTGCTAGACAATGTGAAACTAAGTCATGGACCTGAACTGACTGATAGTAATGCCTTAAATGGCCAGGGCCCACTGGCAGGCCCAAAGTTTATTACACACTTACCTAAGAATAGCTCAACCAGTTTGCACTGAGGTCCCTGCAGTTACTGAATAATGAGCCTCAGTATGTAATAAGCCTGGGATTTTAAGAGGTTAACTGTGGTCCACTCACCAACACACATACAGTACCAGTCAGAAGTTTGGACACTCCTACTCAGGAAGATATTTCATTATTTTTAATAATTTCCACATTTTACAACAACAGTGAAAACATCTAAACCATTAAATAACATTGTTTTTTACCAAAATGTATAAATACATACTATATACTATATATTTTGTATACATACACAACTATATACTATATAAATATATACCGTGTGGTGCCTACAACCAAAGTACACCAGTTCTAATACGTATGCATAGCACACCTTTAGTGCATTACTGCGACTATACCAGAGTTTCTGCAGATCCTTCAAACAGATTAAAAAAAATTTAAAACATGTCTCAAAGTAATAAATTCTAGGATATGGTCTGAAAAGAATCACTGTGTATATTAAACTAACTCAGAATACTCAATCACCAAAAGTAACTTTCGGACAGTGGTCTGGTGATCAGAAACTAACCATAAATGAATGGCCACAGGACTGCAGAACCAATAAAGTCAAACTCACTAAAAAGTTTGTGCAAAGAAAAGAGAGAGCAGTTAGTGGAGGCAGACTGATAGAAACTGAGAAAAATGCTAGAGACTACAGCATAATGTATGTCATGTATAAACCTAAGTGTATATATGTTTCATTTTAAACTAATCTGTTTAAATAAACTCAAATATGACACAGATTAATGTCCATTTGTGCCTTGTTGGGCAGTGGAATAGTATTATTTTTTCTTTGATTAGGTCAATAAATTGCAATGAATTTGAAAATTTTGCAGCAATGTTTTGCTTTTAAAAGTTTGCTGACATTCTACAAAGAAAACAGGTCTATTAAATGGCCTTTTTTCAGGTATTGCTTGGAAGCATTCAGCCAGACTAGCCTTCAGTGATACGTACATGTCATCTGCATTATAAATTATGAATAAACAAAAGCCAGAAGAGTTGATGACCTGGTTACAACCATATAGTGATCATGTAGCGATAGTCATTCTGAGTAATTTTGCAATTGTGCAGCATAAGAAAACAAGTGACTCACCTATAGAAAACTAACAGTAGGGAAGACTGGGGACAGTTGCAACAAGTCTTATTCTTCCAATCATAAACAAAGTAAGTTTTATTTTGTTAACTTCTAATTGACATGGTTAGCATGTGTCAGGGTCAGTGTGTCTTTTTCATCATTTTTCATAATTTTTAGTTCAACATAGGCACAGTCAATCTATTGTATTGCTTATTATGAGCAAAACAGGCAAATATATTATAAGACCATGAGAGGTTAATGATAAACAAAATAATTCCCAAAATAACTTGTTTGTATTTTCTTATATATGTGTGTGTGTGTGGGTGGGGGGGTGTCATACAGTGAATAAATTATCTAAAAGTAGAAACTCAATTCAATTTGTTTTTAGTAGGCTATGCCAAGAGTAAGGAAGAAGGTTACTAACAGAGGGGTTCCCTCAGTTCTTTTGGAATGAGCCTCAAATATAATCAGAGATAAGAGCAGGACAGTCAGGGAAGTGATAAATATTACTAAATAAATAAATAATACTACAATATTATGGTACAAATAAATACTACTATGATATTGTAAAGCAATGCATATTTTCAGATTGCTGTGCTTATTGAGACAAAAATCAGAAGTTAATTAGTGAAATGTAATGTATTTTTAAAAATTTTAACTGTCCCTGATCCATGCTGCAGCTGTCCCCAAGGTTGGGGTCAGTTGCAACATATGACTTCTTCCATTCAAATAAATATTGCGATTGATATGTCATATATAATCATCTTTAAATGGAATGCTTATTTATCAGACAGATATAAGTTTAATATATAAAAATATGGTTGGCCTAGTCCAAAATGTCTCTGAATAACTGAGAGAAATGCAAAAAGTGTTGCAACTGTCCTCAGTCTCCCCTACCAGTTTAATAACAGAAACAGAGCTTGGCTTCTCTTTCCGTGTTATATTGTAAATTAGGCTTTTTTATCAAGCTAAATCAGTAGCAAGCAGTGCCAGTTCTGCCATTGGGAGCAGGATATAGTCACAACATTGAAGTGTTTGTGAAATTTGTGGCATCTCTTTAAAAGTTAATGCTTGTTTGAAGCATTCAGAAAATAACCAAGGTATCTTTGCATGTTTACTCACAGGCATAACACTTTGTTGTACGTGGCATGACCCGCCTGCCCCAACACTGCCATGCCTTTATCTCAACTGTAACTTGTAGATTCAAGTGAGATTATACAGTATTTTATTAGTTGACTGGGGAGTGGATTAGTAGCTGCTGGCAGACATTGCCACACATACGTAAAACTGTTGTGCTGATTTAGTATATGTCAGTATGAAAAATTGGACACATTTAAATAATAAATAGATCATACATGTTTTAATAAATGCATTCAAGTACAGTTATCATTGTTACTATGTTTTAATGACGTTATTACATAGTTTCAATGTGCATGTTTTTAGTTTAGTTATGCACTAACTTCACCCTCAAGAAGAGTCATGTGGGGTGTTTTTGGAAATAAATTAATGCATCAACATCAACACCAACTCCGCTATTTATATTTATCTTAGAAACAAATTTAAAGCATTTAAGGCTGAGCCTTAAGATCAAAATGCCTATGATTGTGAAATGTTTTCACAATGCTAAAGTAGTACAGCAGTAGACTTTGCTCAGTTAGGATGCAAGCTTTACTCAAAGATATCGCCATGTTTTTTTCGATATTTAAGATTTGACACAAAAGCAATCCACTTATAAACATCTTTCATGCACAAAATACTCCCCCCATAATACTATGTACATGCTACTATAGTTGTTTTTTTTGCAGTTTGAAATTCTAGTTTAAATTTCGTTGAGAGTATTTGTTTGAGTAATAGTTGAATACTAGTAGCTGCATAAACTGCATAGTAACAAGTGCCTAAATGGACATCAGCCTATATAGTAACATCATCTTATTTTAGTCATTTATTTTTACCAATCGTATTTATTTCCATCTGTTCATTCTTAAATAGTATATTCACACTGTATTTATTTTGTTTTGCTAGTGAACTCTATACATTCCAACTTGTTTACAAATGTCAGATGTGAATTGCCTTCAAGTCCTGTGATGTCATGATACTGCAATATTTTTGCCATGTCAGCCACCCTTAACTAGGTGCTGCCCAACTTTTGGCAGGTATTGTATACGAATAAAGTCTTTGTCCAGTAAAGCTGACCTCTAGTAATTCTGCAGATCATTTCAGGCCACACATGAGCAAGTGGCACATGAAGCCCAGGCATCTGACTGAGAGAAGTGTCACTGTGTTTCCCTGAGCACAGAAGGGGTGTAAAGACAATGTGCTGGATATCGCCCAAAGCAGTCCCAGCTGCTGCACAGTCTGTCCAATCAGTGTGTGTGAGAGTAAGACAAGTTAATGGGCATCTGACATGTGATACTGTGACTAAAAGATGATGCTTTTTGTTATGAATACCAAGGAAAAAGCAGCAAAAAAGTAATGAATTATGTCTACATTAATTTTTTTTGGTCACTGCCACACCATTCAAACTTCTAAATGTTCAACCAGTATGTCTTACCTCCAGCATGTACTGATCCACCAAGTGCAGTTCACTCACATCTCCTTTGTATGACCTATACATTTCTTTATCATCTGCAGTTGGCACATACCTGATAAAAAATAAAAACACACATACAAAACATGTAATACAAGCTACTCATAGGAGACAATTTGATTTGCTTCTATGTGACTTAGCATCACTGAATTCATCACTGACTTTCAATGGATTACCAGTCATGATGAACTGATGACAATGAGAAATCCTTCCTTTAAATTCTTTGTTAAACCTCACTGTTATGTGCTTTTACTGTGAACTCCTGAACTGTCTGAGGTCGGAAAATTGGATTTGCAGTAATCTAGTCCTTGTTTGGCTGTTCTATGAGTATAAAAAGCACTTAAACAGTTTTTACACAGTATACAAAAATGACTAAGAAGAACTGTATGGATAGTGTTTTAAAAGTGGATGTAGGCCATGTTAGTTCATCATTAATAGCGCTGAAAATCAACACTAAAGCCTACAGTTCAATAAATTTAGAAATCCTAAAGGGTCATAGAATTGCAAGTCAGAGATATGGGAATTAAAAAAATTCTCGAAAACTTCCTGTTTCCGCCTTAAATTATTCATGAATGCAGCATTAACATGTGAAATTGAAAGCGCCAGCAAAATGTTAATCTGTCTGTGCCCCTCACAATGAAGCCACATTAGGGTGATATCAGTGGTGCCTAACTGGATGATGTCAAAGCTCCTTACTGCTGCCAAAACTGATGTGAGGACAACACAGATACAGTGGCATGAAAAAGTATTTTCCCTGAGATTTTCTCTATTCTTGCATATTTGTCAGCCTAAATAATTTTAGAACCTCATACAAAATATAAGACAGAGAACATGAAACGCAAAATACGGTTTCAAAAAAGCTAAATGTAGTAACTGGTTGTGCCACCTTTAGCAGCCACAACTGCAACCAAACGCTTCATGTAACAGTGTGGAAGAATTGCAGTCCACTCTTCTTTGCAGAACTGCTTTAATTCAGCAACACTGGAGGGCTTTCGAACATTAACTGTCCATTTTAGATCCTGCCACAGTATCTCAGTGGGTTTCATGGCAGGACTTTGACTAAGCCACTCCAAAACTTTTTTTTTCTATTGAGCCATTTACAGATGAACTTGCTCTTGTGCTTCAGATCATTGTCTTCGTGCATAAACAAACTGCGCTTGAGCTTTAGATCACAGCCTGATGGTAGGACATTCACCTGCACGCTCTCAGAAAAAAAAGCCATGAAACTGTCACTGGAGCAGTGTCCCTCTTATCACTGGGGTGGTACTCTCAAGGGTTCATCTCGGTACCTTTAGTCAGGGAACATAATTGTACCATAATTCATTGAAATGATATTTTCTAAGTTGTATTGTCTCCACACACATTTTCTTGTTCTGTTTTAAAACATTAGGTTATGAAAAGGTACAAATATATACTTTTCACCTAGACAAACTTATTTAAGGTACACAGTTTGACCTTAAAACCACTGTTGTACCTTTGAGAGAACATCAACATTGTTTGTACCTTGATAAACAAAAATGTACCTGCACAGTACATTTACTTCTAAAAGTGCAGCATTTTTGGATAGAGAGCAGAATTCACAGTTCTGTCAATAATGGCAAATCACCCAGGCCCTGAAGGCACTTTTCAGCAAATGTGTGATGAGCCTTTATGCTCTTCTTGGTTAAAAGTTGTTTTTGCCTCGCAACTCTCCCATGGATGTCATTTTGCCTCTTAGTAATGGTGGAATATGGTGAATTTGTAATGGTGCAATTAGTGAATGCTGGCCTTATCTGAAGTGAGCAAGGCTTGTAGTTCCTTTAGCATTCTTCTTGGGGTCTTTTATGACTTACTGGATGAGTCGTCGCTGTGTTCTTGGAAGTAATTTTGGTTGGCTGGCCACTTTTGGCAAGATTCACCACTGTTCCAAGTTTTCTCCATATGGAGATAATGGCTCTCACTGTCATTTGCTGGAGTCCCAGAGCCTTAGTAACGGCCTTGTAACCATTTCCAGACTGATATATTTCAAGTATTTTCTTTCTCATCTCTGATGGAATTTCTTTTGAAATTAAATGGTAAGATATAGTGTGTATAATGTAGGTACAGTTTGTTAAGAGCTTTTAGACAGCTTCTCGTTTAAGTGATGTTTAGATTCAGCAGGGCTGGCAGTGCTCAAGCCTGAGTGGGTCTGGTTTAATTGATCCCAATTATCCACTAAATTTGTTTCATTGGTTGAATGAGTAACTAAGGGAGCAGTTACTTTTTCATACAGGGCCGGCTGCTGTTAGATAACATTTTCCTTCAACAAATGAGATGATCATTTTAAAAAATTGTAGATTTAAATAAATCGTTTGTTTGTTTATTGTTGTGGACTGCGTCTATTCTGTCATTGGGCTTTTTTACATGCATTTTACATGCAAGTCTATCACTTCCTGTTTGCTAAATATATGCCAGGGTACTAATAAGTATTAATTTCTACGCCTGTTAATTTGTTATTCAGTCATTTATTTCATACATCATTTACCTTGAAGTTCAAATGTTTTTGTCGGTTACGGTATGTAGGATTTTATATGCCATTGCCAAAGACAAATTTCCACTTCATGTAAATTCAGTTGAAAATGAAGTATTCTGATCCTGTAGAGAGAGCCTCTTTTCTTTGAAAGCTGTGATCAACGTTCCAGCAGCATCTTCAGTTTTGCTCTAATCTAACGTTTGCAATAGAAAGTGAACCGATACGTTCCGAATGTGAAAGTGGACTGTGCAGATGCCAAAAAGGTGTCTAGAGGATGTCGTCAGCCCTTGTTAGAGACGGTCTTTGCTGGTAGAACCCGCTTTCATTCAGCAAGGCCCTTTTTTCTCTCTGCTCTTCTGACATATCTCCCCTCTCTCTTTCTTTCCCTCTCATGCTACAGTGATTTCCAGTGGCCCGAGGAATGGAGGAATGATTAAAAGCCAAGTAGTGCTGATGGCCCGAGTCAGCTTAAATAAAGCGCTAGGGCCGTTGATGGTTCAGCCTGCTTCTCGCTTTTGTACCCCGTGTGAACCCAGCCTTCTACCAAAATGGACTCCATCTTAGAGCCGTTTTAGTGTGTTCCAAAGCCAAACCAAAGACGCTAACTATTTCATGAGCCATGGGACGCGCCTTTGGAAAGTCTTGGAAAGACTATAGTCGCCAGCCATTAATATTGCAGCCCTGTGTTGCGCACACATCTATCAGGATTGCATTCCTGAAGCCCACGCAAAGCAACATTAAAATATACATCACGTTCAGTTCAACAGGTAGAAACCTAGAGGCCCGTACATTAGAGTGCTGTTTTCTTTCCAGCAGGTAATTCTCCAAGAACCTCTTTGAGGATGTTTCTTGAAGACAACCAACTGCAAAGTGGAGAGAGACATTTATTCCAGCTTTCAGGCCAACATCCCCCAGGGCAACTCAATAGTGTCCATCTCCTCAAATACCAGCTAATAAAAGTTTTATGTCGGAGCCACTTTGGTAAAAGGCTCTGGCATATGCTCTTTATCATTAGCATTAAAGAAAGGCAGCAGCTTGTTTTACCTTTTCACCGACATGAACTGCCAGTGACTTGGCTCAGTCTCAGCGGGCTCCATTAAGATCACTTGCTTGTCTGGGACTGTATTAATGTTCAAACAATGTGTCCTTAGAAACGCCTGTACTGTTCTTACATTCATACATCACGCCCAATTATGTCCTCCTATGTATGAACCTATGGGCGATGTTAAAAACAACAACATCAAAATAAATTGGTTAAATGAAGGGTTCAGTCAATAATACTAATGTTGCTAACACTGAATAAAAGCAAATACCCAGCGATTAGCATTATGAAAGTAGCAAGATGCTTATTGGTGGCTACTTGCTTCCATTCATTGTTAGCAACAGTAGCACATGACCTTGCACTATTCCTTTAATTAGACAGATACAATCAGTCATTAAAGCTGGAGTAGGTAAGCTAGTGTAAGCTAGTTTTTGAAAAAATCCAACCGAAAAAAATCCCCCTCCTCACTTTCAGCCCTCCCTCCAAAGCCACTCCCCCAAAACAAAACGTGTCACTTTCACCACTGTCCACCATCAAACGACAAATAACGATTTTTTCTTTTTATTGTCAGAGCATTTGATTTATTGATTGCTATAAGGAATCAATAAATGAGTATTTCAAGAAATATAACAAAAAATGTTTCTAAAATAAATCACCTACTTCACCTTTAACTGTTTTTATAGCATGAAACAGACATGTCAATAGTCGGACTCAAGAATTTGTCAGGTTATTGTACACGCCACCCACCAGCTCTTTAAACCACTCCAGTAAACATGAATCACACTCTTCCCTTTGGCTAACAGTATCTCTACGGAGGGAACAATTTCACAACAAGCTCAGATATTTATAGCTGTCCAAGCAACAATGTTTGATGTATATACAAGATTCTGCCTCTCATAGACAGAAGTGGACACTTCACATTTCTCAGTGGAAAAAAACATGTACAGTACTGCGCAAAAGTCACAGAGCACAATTTATTTATTTAATTTCCAGTCAAAATGACCATTAAGTACAAGTTAGTGATTTTTCAGCATAAGCAAAACAGCATACATATATTTAACAGAAAATTACACAGAAGCCTCAACAACTAAACATATCATTTATAGCAGTGTGTCCACCCTTTGTCTTTATTACAGCTTCCATTCTTTGCTTTCAGTTTTTCAAAGAAAGCTGCAGGGACACTTTTCCACACCTGCAAAGTTCAGTTTTAGAAGTTGGTTGCATTTAATGCTTCTCACAATCCAAGTAATCCCAAACACAATAAGTGAATCTAATTTTCTGAGAAATATCTCCTGAAAAAATGAATAACTTCTAATTTAATGTCAGTTTTGACTGGAAATTAGACAAATGCAAGGTGGTTTGCATTTTTGCACATTTTACTTCACTTTAACAATGTTAGCTGCTAGAATCAACCAAATACTGTATACCATGTCTGTTGTGGTTGCTACCTCAGTGACTGCTATGCTCATATATGCTAGGCTATCTGCTAAGCTGCCAATATGCCATAGTATGTTAAACCCTCCTTTGCACAACTCCACATACTGTGTTCTGTTTTGTATTTATTGTAAGTCTTTCGTATTTACTTATTGTACTTTATTGTCTCCACTGTTTCTTGTAATGTCTTGCACTTGTGTTCCTGTATTGCACCATGGTCCTGGAGGAAAGTTGCTTCGTTTCACTGTGTACTTGTACATAGCTGAAATGACAATAAAGCCTGACTTGACTTGACTTGGTCTCTGACTTTTGCACAGTATTGTAGGTTGCAAATGTTCAACTATGTTATAGATGTTGCTATATTTTGATTTTAAAAATCCTGTTGCACATAGGTCTGGGCAATGTAATCAGATAGCGACAATGACTGAGCAGCAAACCAATGCTGGTCCTTGACAAGTGACAAACAGCCATGTTGGGAAAAAGATTTGATAGAGAACTACGTACATAATTTAATTTTAAACAGCTTGTCAAATCATATTGAATAATATTTACATTTACTATTTCATTCTCTTGTATTTTATTGGAATGGGATTGTTAAAACAAAGTATTGTTACAGGGTACTGTTAACAAGCTAATCTGCTACAATACAGCAAATTTCCCAATTTCTCTGCTGCAAGCTTCCAGACTGCAAAAGGTTGAGAATTCCAAAAAAAAAAGAATTACACAGATTTTGTGCAAAATCTGCAGAATTGCTTAGATGTAAATAAAGTCATTCAAAGTTTTGTGATGTGAAATGCTTTATTATCAAGTTGTTCACAGTGGTGATGATAGAAACCAGATGTCTGAAGAGTTTAATGCCTCTAAAAGCTCCCTCACAGGAAGTTATTACAAATAATGGTCACAAATATGCTACCTGATGCCTGACATGTTGTTTCATGATAGTTTATATGTACAACTTTGTCCTAAAACGTATTTTAAAAAACATTCGTGATGCAACATGCAGGGTGTTGTTTTCAGATTTACCGCTATTTTACATTATCGATATTACATCTAAAAACACAGAGACATGTATAGATTCACTGGTCATTCTGAATGGTAAATAAAAGGACTATATGTGTGTTGTTAGCACTGCAACCCCTGGTTCCCATCACCACCACTAAAAAAACTGTACAGTGATTACAACGAGCCATTTCACATCAAACCACTTTGAATACCTTTGGTTACACCTCAATGACTGAAGTTTGAAAAATTCTTCACGAGTTGTAAAATTATATTTTAAAAAAAGTCAAAAGCTCCTCTGCTATTGTGTCACAGACAGGGTGTGTCAATACAACTTATGAAAAAATAATTTAAATGGATTATAGTACAATTATGTTCCCTGACTAAAGGTACTGAGATGTACCCTTCAGAGTACCATACCAGTGACAAGACGGGTACTGCCCCAGTGACACTTTCATACCTTTTTTCTGAGTGTGTATACATAAATATATGTATTGTGAGCAGTGGTTAATTTTTTGTACCTCCTGAGAGAAGTAATGTGTTCATCAGAGAGGCCCCCATCTCCCTCATTAACAATGAACAGTTTGTCCTTGAGCTCCTTTGGTTGCACAGGGAAACTTTTGAGGAAAATATCTGTGAAAAGGGCAGAAGAAAGAAAAAATTAGTTTTTCACAGACACACACGCACACACACACCTTCACTCACTCACGCACACAGAGGCACGTACACTCTCACACATTCAGCAGCACATGAAAGCATCTCTCCTGACAGGAAATCTTCCTACCTGCAATGTAAAAAAAACCTCCAAATGCATTCTGAAGACAAAAAAGCTTAATTACCACTCCACACAAGCCTTAGGGGCCTTACCTGCACACTGATTTGCATTGTACCAAATCTGAATTGATGAGAATTTTGTTTTACCTAATAACCTCGGTGTGTGAGACTCAGAGATGGGCCATGAATATTCTGAGCCATGGTGCCATTTGGGTGAATGAAGTAAAGCGCTCATTACTGCAATATATTCATGCTTTGCCCAAGCGGCAATGGGTTCAAGGGTACAGCGGATAAAGACAGAGAAAACCTCTATTTTTTCCTCGTTTCTAATGAAGAGGTCTGCCAAACATAGAAAAAAATAGCTTTAAATCCAGCATGAGCACAAAGACCAATCATGGTGTCTCTCTTTATGTAACATCTTTGTATTTGTGCACCAGGCCAAGCAAGGAGCCAAGCAGGGCCAATCAGAGAGTAACTGCAGAGCACAAACCTCAGCCTTGCACTAAAATTGAGACAAAAAAAAGGAAACACTACACTGACCTCCACAAAAAATCTCCATCAGAAGCTGAGGTTTAGAAATATAATGCTCCCAAAGGAAGCGTAGCCAGAAACAATTTGAGAAAAATTCTCAGAACCTGTATTCGTCTGACTGCTGCATTACAGTGGGTTAAAAATGCACCATTAGAGCGAGAAGATGCTGCTGGCACTAAAACGTCTGAATTCAGTCATGCAAAGTAACCTTAATGCAATGCTAGCACTTTCTCATTCCACAAAAGAACACAGCACACAAATGATTTTTTTTGATGGGAACAAATCCAAGGATGTTTTCAAATTGGAAAGTGTCGAGGTAAACCAAGCAGTAGGTTTGTTGCTGCTTCTATCAATCAGACATTCAAGAAAAGTGTTCCTTTTCCTATTATGAAGGACCATCTGCAACCCTTACCCTATTTCAAATAGAAATACATCTGTGCCCTTTTCAGAGAGCTGTTCCACCTCACTCCAGTTTCATTATGCCAATTAAAAAAAAGGAGAACAACGTTATGGAATTCGCAAAATGGGTCTTAAGCCCGTGGATGGAAAATGCTTCAGCTATTGTCGGAGTAGAGGAGGAAAGTGTTTTATTTAGGCATTCTGAAGGAGCAGCACTTTAGCTTGAGCATCTCTAAATCCTTTACTGAAGCACTAGCACGTAATTCCCTCCCGGGGGGGTTGATCTCGGCCTTTTATGTGACACTTTTGTTCAGAGGGAAATTATACACCGCTCACCTTATTTCCTTAGTGTGTGATTGCACTTCAGCACTGCTGAGAGCTGTTCATGTTTTCTGCTCATGACTCAACTGCTGCAGTGCCACCTGAACTTGGACCCACGTCAAACTTTCACAACCACAGCAGTGCTTCAAAACGAAGGATTTCAGTTCCAGACTGACCTGCTCTGTTGTTTAGTATATGGATTGCAGCAGTGGAGCATGCAAGCAATACATTCTGTCCTGCCTATCACTATTTATCAAATCACATTATAAAGACAGTTCAATGAGTGTTACTTCCCTTCAAAGAGGCATTTCTGGAAGAAAAAAGGTCTTAAGTGACTTCATTTTTAAGCCTTTTAAGCTCGGAGCTTATAAACTCACATGCATGCTGCTACAGTGCTTATTAGAGAGATTTGTAGGACCTACAACTGCTAAATTCCAAAGAGAGCTAATACATGCTGGAGATGTAGCAGGATATAAAATGGTTGACTGGCTTCAGTGAGAGCTTATTTCACCTTAAACTGGTCTCTAGCCAGCATGACAGGGCTGAAAAAAGAAAGTTAACTTCCCTGAAACTACCACTGTCCTGAGAGTTGAAAAACAATTCAAAGGAAATAGAGTGCCTAAAATCTGCTAATGCCGCCATCTGCATATTCTTCACATCGCCATCTGTGTCAGTTCGAAACATTAAGCTGTGCTGCGTACAGTAAGTCTCCAGGAATAAAGCTGCACATTAATTACCTGAGTCCACTATGGTATCAAACCCTTTTTATAAGTCATTATTGAGCATAAACTCAATAACCAAGTCTGTCCTTGTTTTGGGTTGCAGCTTTAATATTTTGCCTTGAACAGAATTCCAAATAGGTGACAGGGTGGGCGAATTGAATGCTAGCTAGTTCTCTGTAGTCACAAGGAAAAACATGCTAGCATTAATTAGCATGATTTGTCATTCACCAAGTGTTTCTTAGGGTTTTGTCCAAAACATGCACGATTCATGAGTGGCACTCTTGAAATCACACAATATACTGTATTAGGAAGCATACAAACAATGTAACTTAGCGGACACTGAATACCCACAATGCAGACTCACGTTCAACTTCTCAGAGGACAGGCTAGTTGCAAGGTGATGAGCAAACCTAACGTTAGCTTATAAAGCTTTCTACTTGAATCACAAATTCTGTTCCTTTTATTACTGTTCCATCATGTTCCTGATTTTCCATAAAAAGCAATAGTGATTAGGACACCATTCCGAATACCGTGTTTCAGCTTCTGTTGTGCTGCTAGAATGAAACCAAAACAATGTAGCTAAGTTGGGAACAAGGTAGCCCAACACGCAATAAGCTGCCAACCTCTGGGCATGATACAAATGCCCATAGCAGACCAATGCCAACCACACAAACTGACTGGTGTTCATCATAGTGGCTGGTAATCCCCTAACGTAATTCACTTCATGAGCAAGTGGAAAGATGAGAAAGGGTTTGTTTAATCCCTCAGTTTGACACACCCCCTAAAAAGCTCTATGACAATGTGAATCTCTCACGCTCCCTCTCACACTTTCCACATGGTCAGACGTGACCAGCTGAGCTATTACTGATAAACATGTGAGGTTCATCCGAGGAGAATTATCAACATGGCAGAGCTCAGGAGCACTCCTCCTTCTCTCCTTCTCGCATCAGCTTGGGCTGGGAGATGGATTGCCCGGGGGTTGCCCTGGGCCCTGCTTGCCTTCTCCCGCACCTTGTCAGAGGGCAGGCAGAGCACGCTCGGGACGGTTTCCATGGCTGACAAACAGGCCAGCAAGGGCACCATGCATTTTTCATGCTGCTTCCCTAATTGTGCCGCCTTCACCAGCAGACTTTTTTTTCGCAACACTAATGCTGAGGCGTCAAGGCTCACACTCTCACTGTCACACTGCGGAAACGTGGGCTGAGGTTAACACCCTCTAACTCCACGGCTTCCTATGCTGCCAATGGCCTCTATGGGGAATTCCACCCAATTTTTTGAAATTTCTGTATAATACAGAGATTGAGATCTAAGCAAAGTAATTCAGAGTAGTCTGTTGTGAAATGGTGCATTGTAAAGAAACTTAATGATTTAAATTCTTTATAATGGTGATGATAAGAACCAGGGGTCTGCCTACAATGCAAATATAGTCATTTAATTTACTATCCAAACCATCATGTTTTTATATGTAGTATTTATAATGGTAAACTAGTGGTAAATATGTGTTTTCTTTAGGTACTGATTTGCCTCGCTATGCCCTGCACTCTCTGCCACTGATGTGCTCTAAAAAATATGTTTTAGGCCAAAACCTTTTTGGCAACCTCTAAACAATTCTAAATGATTCTGACAGAATGGCACGTTTCACATCAAACCACTCTGAATTTTTTTGTGTACATCTTAACAACTTAATTATGCAGAAATGATGACAAATTAGTAGTAGAATTCACCTTTAAAGTGTGTGGAGGCTTACTAGGAGACACAAAGCACTCTCACCGCCATTAGGCTGCATTGTAGTCCACAACTGACTAGAGACTGACTAGGGAGAAGAATAAGCTAAAGCTAAAGCTAATTCTTCCGAAGATTTAATTCCACTCTCCTGTTTTGATCTGGGTGATCCTGGAAGAAACAGCTTCAATTAGCCAATTGTTCTCTCTGGTCTTGATCCAGGCGATCCTCTAAGAATTAGGTTCAATGAGCTTATTCTTCTCTCTGGTCTTGATCCAGGCAATCCTGGGACCTGTTAGCTAACAATGTTTTCTAAATACCTGTTCTTTGTCCTCACGTAAAATAGCTTTACTATTTAATATATGTTATTTACTAAGTAATTCAAAGGAAGCTAATTGTGTTTAACCTCTTAAAGTGAAACAATACATAGAAGAATGCTCATTCACAATGTATGCTTCATAGGTCTTCATATTGCTCAGCAGTATAACTCTTGACTGTGAATTGATGTATATTCTTGCTGAAAGCAGAGACAGTGGGTTGGGTAAGGCTGTCCCCAGACCCCAAAACAAATCTTTGAATTCAGAGAGCACAGCTCAACATGAGGATCCAACAAACGAGCAGACTATGCTTGTTACTCCAGTCAGCGAGATGCTCGATAACAGGAAATCCATGTTCTCCTAGTTCAATAACAATAGTCACAGTCCTACTTTATGCTGCAGTAAGCTTCTTCTTGGGTTCTCCAAAATATTACCAGAAGCACAATGGCTGTGTGGTGTCACATACAATGATACACTCAATCCATCATTTATGAGTGATCAAAGGGAGTGACGCATTCACAAATTCACAAAAAGGAAAAACCTTCCACCTTCCCAGATATATCAGCTTCTACTTCAAATGGGTTCCAGCAATATAATCATATGAAAAAACAGAGGTAACACTTTTAATATTGCAGTGTTGTTTGTCATAATGTGTTTTTTTCTCAATTGACTCAAAAAAAAAGCAGTCTTTTAAAAACAAGTGATAATATGCTGCCATCTGGTGGCAGCCATGAGAGCTGTTTTCTACAGTTTGATTTATAGGCCTTGGTCGGAAAAAATAAACAGGAAAATCTGTTTTAAACAATGTGATTATGACTGTATATAACTCAAGTTATTTGACACCTATTTCAAAGATAGACCAAAAAGAGTCTATTTTTCATGCAGCTTCTATACAGCTTCACAGGCGCGCAGCATGTGTACCTATTAAAGTATATACTCAAATAAGCCACTACTGAGAAACAGTAGACTTCAGTATATAATCATTCCAATCTAAAACCTCTAGTCAAAACAGAGTGCACAATAATCGCTCATGCAGGTTGCACAAGGCTCACAGCATTCAATTTTATGCTGATTACAAACCAGCTCTAAACCAAAAGGTACAGCCTGATGAAAGAAATGGACTGAGCAGTTCACATCTGCAGTTGCAGACATTGTAATCAGAAAAACAATCAAGTAGATCTCAAACTCTTTAATTTTCTGTCTTGCCGTGCTTAGTCTATCTCAAAGATCTGATGAAAAGTAATCTAATGAGATCTGATGTTATTCACAGGTAATTCGCAGTGGGGTTTCAATGGCCTGCTCTGCTGTTGCTTTTGCCCTAATCCTCCCATGGAGATCAATACCAGAACAATGTGGTTTGATTGCTTCTGCAAGATAAACAGATACTCACCTCACTTATAATTAAGTGTCAAGTTTTCCCTACCAAATCAGAAAATAAAGCAAGCCATCCTTAATTCCTGGGTAATGTGCACATTATTTGAAGTGTGCACAATATGAACACATACATTCACAAGAGTCACTGGTAATCTATGAAGATCTAATCAGAATGGTAGGTAGCTATATACCCAGACCTCAAGTAGGTGCAGGTTAGGTAGGTCTAGCTTTACTAAAAATTGCATTCCTCTAGAATATAATAGTTAAACATTATATTTCACACTCACTGGTCACTTTATTAGGTACATTTCTTGTCCATTTTATCATGTCCACTTACCATATAGCTACACAATGTAATTCTACCAATACAGATCTGTCTCTATACATAATTTGTTAGTCCCCCAATAATCAACCTTAAGGACCCCCACAGGACCACTACTGAGCAGGTACTATTTGGGAGTAGTTTGGAGTGACACTGACATGGTAATAGATGTCTATGTGTTGCACAGAGTGGACAACTACATAGGCATGTTACTGGAGTTTTTAACACAACTCAGTGTCACTGGCGGGCTGAAAACAAGCTTCCCCTCCAAAATATCCAACAAACAGCATTCTGTGGCCACTAATGAAGGACAAAACCAGTGTTTTGCCACCACCTTTTAAACATAAACTATTCATTCTATTATTACCTATTCAGAGCACAGGAAGAGATGACAAACACAACCACATGTATCAGTGTCAGAAATTCGTATATTGTGGGTTTCAAAAAAGGTATCTAAAAAAGAGAGGACGGGTTAATTCTGTTTGGTCCATTAGATGTCTTGGTTCATTTTGCATTCGCTATTTAAACGAACTGCAGACAAACCCAGAGTTGGTCTGAAACCAGCTTGAGAGTGACCTCCTCAGGGGATCTCGGTAGACCTGCCAGTGTTCTCATTTGTTCATTTAAAAAAAAATTGCTAAGTAAGAACACTCCCCTGATCTTGTCCTTGAGGACCAGGAACACTGCATGGTTTCAAGCATTCTTTGACTCAATACACAGACGATCGAGCTCATCAACTGATTATGGACACTTCATTCCTCTCAAGGTTTCTTCCTCTGACTCTTAGGGAGTTTTTCCTCGCCACTGTCACCAGTGGCTTGCTCATGGGGGCTTGGACCCGGATTTTTCTGTCAAACTGCTTTGCGACAACGCCTGTTGTAAAAAGTGCTATATAAATAAACCTTGACTTGACTTGACCCCTTCATGAGCTGGATAAGGTGGGTTAGTGAAACTGTGCGGTGCTGTGGGCCACCAGTGCAACATTAAGAAATACTGGAGTAAAGGATGACAAACTGGACAGCAACCAATGTGTTTTTAACTTCAGATGTACCACATGGACCGTCAAGGTAAATGTGTCTAATATACTGGGCATTAAGTGAGCACAGTGTTTAAAAACTCCAGCAACACTGATGTGTGTGATCCACTTGTACCAGCACAAAACACACTAACAGACAACTACCAGGTCAGTGTCACTGCAGCGCTGAGAATGACCACTGAACAACACAGAAAAGACAGACTAACAAATCAAAGACAGAAACAGATGGACAACAATATGTAATAGAAAATCTACAATCTACAATCTACCCTTCATCAATGCTCACTTTCTAAACACAGAGTCGCTCTTGGTTGGATATTTTGGGTCTTGGGCCACCTAGTAGGCATACTGACGAATGTAAAAATGCCACCAACACCACTGTACCTGATTCGCACACACCAGCACTATGAACATCCTGACCATGTCAGTGTCACTGCTGTGTTGAGAATAGACTAACACCCAAATAAGAGCAGAGCAGTCCTGTGGTCAGCAAATAACCTGGTGAATAAATGGGCTGTGTTATTAAGAAAACTTCAAGTATCAAGGAAACATGTTTACATGTTGAGTTTTTTCAGCTGCTTTTGTAGTCAATCAATGCAGTTTAACAACTGAGATTTGACTGTTCATCTAACATTTACCTGCCAAAAGTACATTAAATTGTTTTAAAAAGAGAAAACATAGCCTACGTTACATTTATGGCATTTGACAGACAGTCTTTCCAGAATGACTTACAGTCTAATCATGTTACGGAGGTAGCTAATATAGCATTAGGAGCAATATAATATAACATATATTATATTATAATATATATTATATTATAATCTATATACTAAAGTTGGTGAGAGTCTAAGTGAGATATTATAGATAATGTAGCATTGATGTCTTGTCCAAGGACTCCTGGTTCTTTCCTAAGCAGGCAATCAATCACCAGTCTGCTACATGGAGGGCAGCAGTGTTACCCACTACACCATACTGGCTGTAATGTAATGACCAGAAGAGTAGACTGGGGGTTGGTTCTTTGCTTGGCAAGAGCATCATGCTGAATTAATAAGTCTCTCTGGGAAATACTCTAAATGCTACATTAGCTTACCTCTGTAAAATGACCACACTTTAAGTCATTCTGGATAAAGGTGCCTGCCAAATGCCGTACATGCAATGTAGGTTGAATTTCCCCTTTACACTGGACAAACAAACAAATCTAAGTTGGTTAAACAAATCAAGCTTAGTAAGGACGACTACAAATGCACCTGTTGAGAAAAGTGAAAATTGTTTAGTTCACATATATTGATGCCAACAATTCATCTTTTATAGCGTACACTCAGTGAATCTATAAGGTAGGTACACCTCATAAAGTGATCAGCGAGTACAAGATAGTTTACTTTACTATAGCTCTATTGACAGGTCTACGTGGTTCTAACTCAAAGCAAGTCCAATACTCACTGAAGTTGTGTGCAATTTTCGCACTCAGCATGATTTCGACATGATTGCTTGACTCCAAGATAGAAATGTTGGCCGAGTCTTTGACTCCAAATTGCTCATACAAACGAGAGGTGTCGATTTCAATTTCTCTAGGGCTCCCCCGTGCCCAGACTGACTTCGCAATCTGTAAGAGCGGCAGAAAGTGTCAATATCATCATTTTCCTCACAGAAACCTGCAATGAATAAACCTCTCTAATATTATTGTGGGCATGAATGATCTAATCACAGTTCACACTCTCTGCCTTGAATATATGAGTTCAGGGAGCACACAAAAGGAACAGCTGGTAAGAGTCTAAGTGAGAAAAATAAAAAAGCAGTGTTTCTTTCAATGTAAATGAACCTGTATGCTCTTATAAGGATTGTGACTATGCCTGAATGTACTATAACTGGACATAATCTCACTCAGATCTTGCAAATAATGAGGTTTTAGATAACAGAGTTGGGTAACATAACCAAAAATCTTAATGGATTTTTTTTGAGAATGATTTTGCTGACTTTCCTAACTTTCATGCTAGTTAGTGATGTCACAAGCTAACAACTAGAGTTTTTCCCTCCGTTTGAGCAAGTAAAAGGTACACATTGCCACCTAGTGTACCAAAGTAGCAATTAACTAAATATCAAGAAATATCAAGTATTAAAAATGATCTTTTTATTGCCTGGGCCTATCTGACACTTAAACAATGATTACAGGGTTTTTCCTGTGTTTAAGCTTAGTCTGCAAAACAATATATACACACAACATATGGTACCTTGTCTTGAGCAATAAGGTCCCAGTGAAAGGCCCTAGTCCTTATTATTAGGGATTCTGTCTTCTTCTTCTTGGGCAGTGGAGGTGGCACAGGAGGTGGAGGGGTCGGGGCAGCAGAAAACAGCGGTGATTGGACGGACTCAAGCTGTGGTAATGGAGCTAGCCTGCTCTCTGCTAATGATACTAGAGTTTTCTCTTGTACAGGTTGTGGCTTTAACTCAGGCATCTGCTCTAGCTCCACTGAAGGTTTATGCACTGGTTCTAGTGCTAGTGCTGGCACTGGAATAGGCACAGCAACAGCTCGAGATTTGGACAGAATCCGAGGAAATGGCTGTGGCGGCACCAAGAGAGGCACATGGTTGTTCTGCATCTTGCCTGTCTCAGGCTCTCTCTCGTGTGTAGACTGGTTTTCTTTGATGACTTTCGTAATATCGGAGAGTTTTTGGGCTTCTCTGAGGTCTTCATACTGGGACCTGCGTTTCCAGTCCATGCACTGCTTGTTGATGGCTTTGACCCAGGCATCCCGCTCATTCCTGACATCCTCCGTGCTTATTTGTTCATTCAGGGGGAACCCGCAAACTAGCAAAGATAACAGTTGAGTTATAGCCATCTGAGTTCAAATACAATCTTTTACCATTGTGTTCTTAAAAAAATTGGTTCAACAGTTCTTCGTAGCACATTCCAAAAAAATGGTTCTTTAAAGGTTCCATAGAGTGGAAAAGTGTATTTATGTTGGCATAGCTGAATAAGAAGAGCTTGGTACCGTGAACCTCAAACACTGTTGTCTCCTCCTTTAAACACAAATCCTGCATTTGTAAAATAGGTTGGTAAAACAGGCCAATTCCAAAATCCTAAACTGTTATGTAATAGTCTTGATTCATTAATATTTACACCCCCAAACTTTACATACACCAGCACACGTTAATGACAGCAGAGCACCAGCAATGAAAATGGCAGTCTATTTGCAGAAATTGTGCTGTTCCAGGCTGTGAAGGGGATGTCAGCACTTTTCACACTCTTCCCAAGGAACCGAATTGATAGCAGGCACGACTGATGTTCATCTTTAAACGTGGCTGAAGTTGCCTTCCTATTCGCCAGCTTCTTAATTAAATGTTCCATTCCACCTTAAACAGTACAGCTTGCACAGGTGCCAGAATGTAACCGCAGCACAATTTAAGGTGGAATGGAAAATTCGCGCACAAGCTGGCGAGTAGGAAGCCAACTTGAGCGTCCACATCTTTAACAAGATCCTGAACAACTTTATTTCAAAGTTGTTAGTGTTTTCTGCACATTTCACTCCGGACAGTTTCTCTAACCTTGGACTGTATCGAGCAGGCTTTGTTCAGAATTTGACACTGAAGAGACTGAAGGGCAGTTCCAAATGTATTAGGATCGCAACCCACAACCCCAACTGTAACCTGTAAGTAGCAGCCATGCTGTGTGATTTTATCCACTTTTTAATGGTTGAAGCCCATTCATCTTAAATAGAAAGTTTCACAGTGAGCTAACAACTTTAATTACTTTGTGGTGTTGTCGACACTGAAAGCAAGTAGTAGGTAACATTAGCTACCAGCATGCTCCAAGTAAGCCATCACAGTGCTTAGCTGTAAACCCAAAAATTGGAGCAAATTATTCATGAGCCCACTAAAACAGTTAAAACAGCTTGTTTCATTCTAGGGCCAAATCATAAGGCTGTAAATGGGCGCGTAAAACCGCAAATGGGCATTTTTTGCCCCGACCAAAGTCATACACCTTTTATGTAGACATGAGAGAACAATTTAAAATACTGAATAAATGTATTCTATGGCATCTATAAAGAACTATCATTGTTCCAAAGAACGTGGCATTTTTATTTTAAATATAAAACATTTACCATAAAACAAACTAGCGCAGCTCCAAAAGTGGAACAACAATCATAACTGCTCTCTCTATGTGTGGCTTCCACCTTTCCCCTTTCATCTAGTGCAATGCTAGCCATCATAGGCTTCTGTTAGCTCTTGTACTAGAGTTGTGCAGTTAGAGTCCTCTTCCTAGTGCCTTCAGCTGCCTAATGATATTAAGTGAGCAGCAGTGGCTGGTTTCATATGACTTGAAAGAAGCCAATGTTAGCCTTCACCATCCCAGCTTGGTAGGATCATATGTGATAAGGAGAGATCTAGCAAGTCAGGGGAATTTCTAACAAATATATTGAGGAGAAAATTACAAAAATACAACATAAGGAAAAAAATAAGGAGAAGCTATTGCTCACAAGCTGTAAAGGCATCCTCAAAAGGCATATATCAGTCTAAAAAAAAAAACAAAACTCACTGAAATTCATCCTGGTTGGTGAGAATTATAAAGGTGTCACATGTGCAAGGTGTCTCTATGCTTGCATTGCCATCTGAAAGGTGAATAATGACTGGCAGGCTAAGAGTAACTGGCACGTCTGCATCGTCTGAGACTGGTTGACAGCCTGTGGGCAGCAGGGTCAGCTGACCTGTGTAGAGATGAGCCTCATACCTGGTAAAAGGAATGACAGTAACTTAGAATGACAACAATGCACAGTGAGCTTCCTACTAACTATAAAATCACATGTGCTCCCGTTACCAGCAGAGCCACTGAATGTGAGATGACGTAATTAGCAATAGTTAAAGGGCCCATATCCAACGTTTTTATTGTATTTTCTAGCATCTTTTCCGTATTACATATTTGTGTGGTTTTATGTACCGAAAGCAGCCATAATTCCTTTTTACACAGCCATTTCCAACCTCTCTTAATCCATTGGAATTAAACAGGCTGTTTCTGTCTCTGTACCTTTAAGACTGATATTTGCAAATGAACTCTGATTGGCCCTATACCATGCTGGGCTCAAAAAGCTGTCTGAGCTGAAACAGGCCGAATAGGCGCATATATGTAAATGTGCTGTTTTTGTGACATCACAAAAATAGTAAAATCAAAACAGGTAGCTTAGTCTCTGTGGACTGTGTGGACTGGGGAATGAACGGTACATTTTGAAACTTTAACAGTGTTTACACACTACATCACATTTTTTTTTTCAAAAAAGTGAAAATTCTGTTTTAGATGATATGGGCCCTTTGAAAGGAAAATCAAACTTTCACATTTTTTCCTTACCCTAACTGTAGTCAATCAGCAAGGTGTTGGACATCCTAATATTATTTCTGTACTTTAGCATTGGAGCTACAGGGCTAATGTAAGTAATAAGTAATGGAAGCCTAAACTGTGCCTTTATTCAAACTGCATGTCTGAAACTGGTTCAAGTAGTTAGGTAATCCGAAACTGGTTTAAGTGGTTAGGTAATCTCAAATAGACATACTTATGTGGTTCCTGACACAGAAGTGGACGAAATTCAGGCTTCAACACGGTTACAACTATTTTCAGCTATGCAACATATTTGTCCATTTTTTATATATAATAAACAAGTCTATTTGAAACTCCTTAACGATTCAGCATGGCTTGGGCAAGTCTGTGATTATTTCAGCATGCAGTTTGCACAATGCTAACAGATGTACATTGGCTTCCATCATGTTAGCCTTGTTGCTCTAGTGCAGGAAAAACTAAGTCAAGTCCAAAGACTCCAAGCATGTTTTAGCTGATCAGCAACATTTGGTTTAAGGGTAAAATGTGTTACACATATGTCCATACTTTTTCCATTTGCATGATGCTAGCCCTCCCCTTTGCAGAAGCAACAGTCCCTCATGGAGCTTCGTTGGGGAGGCTGGTGGCTTGCTGGGTTCCTCATGTGTGTCTACAGGATGGATGTTCCTGTAGATGATTTGATTTATCAGCTCCAGAATCTAGAGGGAAGAGATACATTTGAATGTGGTTTGAGGAACTTGCTTAAGGGACCTGTATACACTCAGACACAATGCATTCCCAATGCATGTATTCATATTAGAGGAGGATACTACAAAATCTGTCAAAATTAATGACGAATATTGGTTGGATGTCTTCTATTTTATTAAAAATAACAAGAAGAAAAAAAGAGAAATTAACACCAATCCCAGTTTGCTGGGAGCCCCATACTCTCCACAATTTAGCGTGTTCCCTAATCTAACCTCATCAGCTAATTATCAGGCCGTTTATGGGCTGGGTCAGATGCACTGGAAATAAAACTAGTATAAACCAGGTTGTAGTGGTTTCAACAGCTACCAAAAGTGTCACAGAATTTTGTCTCACTTTCTGCTTGTCCTCTGGAGACATGGCCTCCAGCTCGTAGTTATGGTGACCCTTGAATGACACGGTGAACTTGGTCCCTGCAGCATCATGGCAGTTTGTCACCTCCATAAAGGGAAACTGCCTCTTCACAATGCCTTTAACAATGCTGCATACCATCTTTGTGTTGAAATCAATCTGAGGAGAGACACATGTAAGTATTTCCTGAAGGATCATTTCAAATGCTTGAACAAACACAGTGATCCAGCTTATGAAGATTTCTAAATTAGCAGCTCTGCTGTCCATCTAGCTTTAGTTTAGTTCTTAGTTTACAGAATACTGGTACTTTCTTAAATCATGTCTGCTTTCAGAGAATGGTGTAAAAAGCCCATATCATGGAAAACTGAAATATACAGTCTATATATGGACACTAAGCTACAAAAAACAGCCTGTTTTGAATTCATAATTTCTGTGTCACGAAAACCAACACTTTCACATATATCTGCCCATTCAGCCAACAGTGGTTTAGCTTGGCCTACTCACGCTGCAGTTATGGGGAGTGTTTTCAGTCAGGCCCAAAACAGGGCAACCAATCAGAACAGAGATCATTTACTTATATCAGTTTTAAAGGCACAATAAGAAAAACAATCTGTTTAATTCTAAGGGATGAAGAGAGGTTGAAAAATGTCACGTAAAAGTGAATTATGACTGATTTTGATCCATAAAGCCACAAAACATTATATGTGGACCACAAATGTGAGAAAAATGTAAGACATGGGCTCTTTAAATGAAAACACCAGACCATTTTCAAGTCTGACTCTTTATTTCTAACTTGTGTTGCTTTTTCTATCTTACTAATACTATTTCTCACTTGAAGAGACTATTACACCTCAGAACTAAAATAATTCAAATTTAATTGTTATTTGTAATTTGTTATCAATTGTAATTCTTATTTATGCTCTTGTACCTGGATCACTCGTTTTTGCCATCTGTAAGAGCTGAATTTGTACACACTAAAGTTGTACAGTGAGGCTTGCTTCTCCTGGAAGAGAAAAACAAATGAACAAATGACACAATAACACAATTGTATTTGCTAAAAAAAAAAAAGAACGAAAAAAACGTTGTGTTGTCCATAATGCCTGCCTGTGAATGGCTGGACAATTCCCTTGAAATGTTGAGCTGCAAGTTTCTTTACTTCCTCATAGGAACCATGCCAACCCTACCACAAAGTTCCAATAATAGTACCAACAATGACACACGAATTATACAATGCACAGCAAAAACTAAGAATGCAGGCTTCCTTGAGAATTCATCAGGCAAACAGGAGTTTCTTGAGAACAGCAGTTTGATTTCCTGTAAAAGATTAAACCTGTGACTGTAAAAACTGACAATAATAATAACTGTATATGGGCCTTTCTATTGAATTAGTTCAACTTGCAGTCCTACAGTAAAAAAATTAAAAACAATAATTATTCAGACCTTTGATATTTACTAGGATTGTGTTATGTTATCTATTTAAACCCAAGGAAATGAGTCAGCATCCCTGTCCCTCATTAAATATGTCCAAAAATCTGAAAAATCTGTGTGTAATATTGAGAACTGTTACTACCAAAATGCATGTATTTTATGTATTTATGTATTTAAATAAGCTTTTTTGTGTTTTAATGAAATATATTATATTTATATATTTTATGAGTGTACAACTGTTCAAAGCTGTGTTTGTTAATTGTGTATCATTTAATATAGTTCTGCTTAAAATTAGCTACAAATGTCACTACCGAAACAGTCAGTATCAAAATATTTAGTACCATTTCAGAAGTGTTATGACTGTTTTAGCAGTGACAAAATGGAATGTTCAATCATTTGTTTTAATAAAATAAACATCAATAAGGTATAGGATCACTAAAAGCAAAAAGTCCAAGTCAGCTAAAGTCCGAAATGTATTATGATTCAAATAGAAGGAGCCTTAAACCGCTCTTCAACTGCAGCTCAGTACAGTTTAGTGTTTACCCTGCTTCATCACATCTGATTCAGCTTAGCAGTTGACTATCAAGTCAAATCAAGTGTCAACAGCACAAAATTGTGAAGACGTTGAATATGAGAACTGTTTTTTTTTTCTTTTTTAAAAGAAAGCAAAGCTCTTCCACTTCACCTCAAAATCAAAACTTTTCTGCAGCAGCTGCAGCTGGTCCCTCCTGGCCATGTCCAAAGCGTCATCAATGCTCAGCTGTCCGATCTTCACCTTGTGCATAATATTCAGCTGCATCTCATTGCTGAGCTACAAAATGAACAGCAGGGCATTATGAGGACTGCAAAAGCTATTTAACACACAGTGCAAACATTCAATACAATCATACAAACTACTCTGCGTCTGATTTATGGAACTTTCGCATGACATGGAAACAAGCAGAGATTTGAGTGGCTTCTGTGTGTGAAATCAAGTGCCAGCCCACCAGCACCTCATTTATTATTCATTTACATGAAGCACATCCTAGTTCACGCTGATGTTTTAGTAGGGAGCCAGTAAAACGACAGCATTTAGCAGATTGTGAGCCAGTGGCTGTGCTTGCAGTCAGTGTTAAAGGTTGAGCAGTGAGTGCACTGCTCCCTCTACTGACCAAAATTGATATAGTTAAAATTACTGAAAAGAATATTATGGGATATAAACAAGACATCTTAGATTTTTTAAGGTGGTAGAATGACATGATTTTGTCGTGTGATTATTTTCCTAACATAACACATTTACATGCAGTATTATTGCAGTGTATGAGATGCTTCTACACTAGCTTTTATTTGTGGGTAGTAGTATAAAACAAAAGTACAACCACTTTAGTAATGGATTGCCATGTGCACAGATTATTAATATCACTGTTATTATCTATTTTTATTCTTATTATTGGTATTATAAATGATACTGACAATACATTTGGTTAGTTAACTGCAAGTCTAACAAATATTTTCAGGATGTTAAACTATTAGCTCAAATTTACATACATTAATTCCAGATGTGAGTTTGATTGTATAGACATGCCAAAATTAATGAACAACAAAACCGTGGGGAAAATCTGCATGTGCTCAGCTTTGACTGTATGCAACTTTGAGGAATTACTGATATCAATATTGAAACCTTCAGTATCAGTCTTCTTTAAAAATTACTAAGCTTTAAAATGAGCTGTTGTTACTGAAGCACTTCACTTAAGGTGAGCATCTAAAAGTACACTATCATGCTCAAACT